CTGGCGCTCGCTCCTCGCTCGAGCCTCCCGCGGGAGTTTCGGGAGAAAGTGCAGAGTGGCCCGGTCCGTCCATTTTCACTGAGCAGCTTGGCGAGGTCAGACCCTCCAGCGTCACCGCACCCGGACGCGGTGCTCTGTGCCCAGCGGGCCCCGACTTGTGCGGGCCGGTGCCGCAGGTACCGGTAATCAAGGAGGACGGGAAAGTCAGGGTGGTTTGCCGGTCCAAGGGAGGACCCACCCTCGGCGGAAAGGCTGAAATTGTTATACTTGATTGTCAGTGAGGAGGGGGTCAGGTAACGTCACCCAGGATCGCTGTCATCAGGCCATGGGGCTCTGCTGTCCTCTGTCGGAGTTTGATGACTGACACTATGTTTTTGTTACACAGCTGGGGTCCAGTGCAACAGAGAGCCCTTCCGGGTAAAATTAGCAACTGGGCAAAGATGAATGTTAGTGGTCGGGGCATCAAAATACAATGTGCATCTTTGTAGTGTGGGAGGACTTCTGCAGTATATCGGAATGGGGAAGGGGTGGTGTTAAGTCGTGACCAGCGGTGACGGTGTGTGCAGAGCTTACGAGGGAGAAAGTTAGGGTTAGGCCACAGGTGCACCCCTCAGCTGCTGTGTGGCCTCTAAAGAAACCAGGGTAAAATCACCTGGATGCCACACAATCTGGTAGAGGTCGGAACTGCTGAGGGTGTGGGGAGCCAGGCAGGGTCAGGGGAGGAAGCCGCAAAACCGAGGGAAGGATGCTTCAAAGGATTGAGGCCTGGTCTGCAGTCTGCGCAGAGAAGTTCAGGAACAGTGAGCCAGAAAAGGTGTTCAGGGTTGGTTTGGTGGAGGGAGGTGAGTCATGATTTGTGGGGTCCCCCCTACAAGGCGCCCACAGCCAGGCTGCCGTAAATGACGCCATTGTGTTAACTCATGCCCTTCGTGACAGTGCAGACAGTCCGTTGCTGTCATCTGCCGTTCAATGAGTAACAGACACAGGGCAGCGAAGAAATTCTCTCTGGCTGGTGTGGTAGCACGTGCCTGTAATCGGAGCACTTGCGAGGCTGAGGCAGGAGGATTGCCATGAATTAAGGCCAGCCTGGACTGCCCAGTGATATCCAGGCCAGCCTGAATTACATAGGGAGACCTTGTCTCAAAAATACACCCAAAAAAATCTCTGTGACCTTCCTAAACTGAATTAAGGATCACGACAGTATTCTGCAATGGAATCAACATAAAGCCCAAGATATTATCTAGCTTCTGTTTAGTTTCAGTTCTCAACATGTATACTCTACTTTGTGCTATTTATTCTTGAATATACTGTAGCTGCAAAGTTATTTAAAAAAATAAAAAATAAGTGGTTCTCACCACAAAAACAAACACAAATGGGTAATGCTGTGAGATAATGGGTATGTTGGTTTCGCTCCCATGACTATCAGGATATCTTCAGATGAAAAAAAAAATGTTTGGGCTAGGGATTTAGCTCAGTGGTGCTGCTGCTGCCTTGAAAGCACAAGGACCCAAGTTCAATCCCCAGTGCAAACAAACAAAAAAAAGTTTAATGATATTTGAAAGCCAGAGACACCCTGAGCAAGGGAAAAGATGAAGGCAAAATATTCTGAAGATGAAAGAGACTGCAGGCTGCAGTTGGCTGCTGGGATAGGGCTGCAGGAGGTAGAGGCAGTATGTCTGGTGGCCTAGAGAGGGACCCAGAGCAGCAGCTTAGAGATGGCCGAGTTTCGGCTGGGGCTGTAGCTCTGTGGTACAGAGCTTCCCCAGAATGCGCAAGGCCCTGGGTCCTTGGACTGCCAGGGAAATAGCTGTGGAAATCTTGCCTCTGGGTCTTGGAGGAGAGAAGTCCAAAGCCAAGGTGTCAAGGGCCATGACCCATGAGAAACCTGAGGACAGATTCCTTCCCCGCCTCCCCAGCTCCCACTGGTGCATGAACCCACGGTGCTCCTCGCCATGTGAACGTGTGCTTGGCTCCCGGGCTCCTCTCTTCCTGGGAGCTCACTGGTTGTATGGGACGAGGTCCTGCACTGTGACTGCATCTCAACTCAATTCCATCTGCAGAGGCCCGATAGCCACAGAAAAGTGTGTTCACAGGTCCCGGGACTTGGACTTCGTCACATCTGTTGGGGACACACAGTTCGAGCTGTGACAAAGTGATTCACTCTGGCAAAAATGGACTTTACCATGGCAATGTTGACTCATCTCTTTTGCCCCCGGGGAGTCTAACTGGGTCCCTTGGTCTCCGAAACACCTGCCTTTCATCTTTGAAAACACAGGAGGGGCAGCAGTGGTCCTGGGGAGAGTGTGGAAAGGGCAGTGAAGGGGGCAGAAGAGGGAGGGAGAACAGTGCCCGAAGGTGTCTTCAGGGTCCAGACGGGTGGACGTCCTCTCTCGGATAGACAGGAGGGGCTGGGGAAGGCCGGGTGAGGGTGAGCGGGCAAGCCTGGCAAAGGAGAGCTCACAGCGCTGAAAGTGGGCGTCAGAGCCGCAAGCCAGAGTTCAGGTGAGGAGGATGGAGGACGCCTGGTAACTTGCACGTCCGGTTATTATTGGCGGGATTCGTTCACGTCCACTGGAAGGGAGAAGCAGAGAGGACACAGAATAAGTTCCAAGGAAGGTAACGCAGACGGCAGGCATGGGGGAACCCCTCCATCTCCCTGAGACCGCCAAGTTTCAGCCCTTGCCTGGTGAGGGAGGGCTGGGGAGAGAGAGCGACCTCCGGGCCACGCCTGCAGGGACTGCGCGTTCAGACCAGGCCCTGCCTTCTGGCCCAAGTCAGCCGTGAACTCCCTCGAGCCAGTCGCCTCCAGAAGTCTGGGTTATGATCCCAAGAGGCATTAGGGGCCATCTAGGTATGAACCATAATGAGAGGAAACCCAGACACCGAGCCTCTAGTGCAGGAGCAGTTGCCACCACTTGGGTAGCAGGAAAGAGCCCAGAGTGTGGAAACCCACAGATGTCTCTCAGCTGAACCCCTCCAGGAATAAAAGGGTGAATTGCTACGAAGGGTCATAAAAAGGTGCACCAGCTTGACCAGGGCAGTGATTCAGTTCGTACTACCACGTGCTCCTTCCTTCCCTCTAGGCGCCCTTATCAGTCTTAATAGATTGTATCTAAGACCTCGTCTAAAAGTAACACATGGTGGGGGGGTGATCCCAGCACTAAAGGGCTGTGGCTGGAGAATGACAGTGAGTTCAAGGCCAGCCTGGACTACATAGTGAGACTGTCTCAGAATAAACAAAAACAAAAGTAATATACTCGGCCAAGGCAGGTCCTGTTGGCAGGGAGAAATGAACATTTGACTTTCAAATAAAGGTGGAATAATAATGACTCAGGTATCCATTTTGCTGACAGATGACACCATGGATTTAAAATGCATGTGAAACTCATTTGTGGTGGTTGATTGGTTTGAGAAATGTTCCTGTAGGTGAACTTGTCGCTGCAGATACCTGGGATAGAAGAAATAAAATAGGTGGAAAGGAGGCAAGGGAATCCGGGTTTTTGTTTTTGTTTTTATTGAGTTTGTTGGTACTTTTGAAGTACACAGTGCGGTTACATTCATCATTGGGATCTTGTACATTTACGTGACAGATCTTGCTTCTCATTTTTTTCCCCATATCCCCAAATCAGGGTTTTTAAATTGTACTTTTAAAAAAAACTGCAGCTTCAAGACACAAAAGTTACCCAAGCTTTTTTCCTTTTCAGATACTCACTTTAAATAAGTACATACATACATCTGAAGGTGACCTGGCGGTCGGAACACACACCCCAGGTCACCCCCCTCGGAGGCACCCAGGGCCCGTAACTATCCCAGCCGCAGATCACCGTGGGTCTCTCCTCTGGACGCCCGCACTCCACGCCACCTCTCTGCCTAGTGCAGCCCACGCTGGCCCCTGGCTGACGCCCCTGGAACCCTGTTTCTGCAGCAGGAGGCAGCCAGCCTGCCAGTCTGTCCCACGAGAGGGTCTGGGTCTCAGCTTCACAGACCTCTCGGGAGCCGGCCCCAAGGCACTTGCCCAGCCTCTTTGCATATCTCACTTTTTATATTTTTTGCTAAAAACACACACACATTAGCCTTACACAGGGTCAGGCTCATCATTGTCGCAGCCTTCCACGTCCACACCTTGCCCACTGGAGTCTTCAGGGTCATCAGATGCAGGGACAGTCACCCCGTCACCTCCGGAAGGACCCAGCCAGGGCTGTTTCACAGCTAACTGTGTTTATAAGTAGCAAGAGGACACGCTAAAATAACAGTAAAAAGTTTAGAAAGTTCGCAAACCTCTCAGTTTATCTATCATCCGTTATTATTTACTGCAGGTAATTTTGGGCGCTGTTCTTTCATACAACCCTCAGTGCGGTGGGTGTTTGTACCAGCGACCCCACCGGGTCTGGCTGAGAGGGCGCCACCACCCCGGGGCTGCGGTGTTGGGGTGACAGCGCCCTCCTCACCCCTGTGTGCCTCGCTGCGTGTGAGCCGCGTTCCCCAGGGGACTGCACTGGCTGGACAGCTCCTCCTCGGTCCGCTGTGCGGAGAAGCCGCTGCCCACCTCGCCTGGGAGGCCGGGAGTGCTGAGGTTTCCTGCGTGGACCCTGTGGCCGGGGCTGGGTGGGCTTTGATCCCCAGAGCTGCAAGGGGCGACTCTGCATAGAGGCTGGATTTCTGGCAGGAGGGGAGGGCAAAAGCAGCCAGCAGGTCTTTCCTTGGGGCTTCTTTATCCAGGAAAAAAGTTGGCATAGTCGTGCTGGGAAAGAGGACGGAGGCTCCTCAATTAGTTAAAAACAGAACCACCATAAACTGTAATAGTACATAAGGTCCTGATGAGATAACTGACATTGTGAAGTGGGAAGAAAAGGGCTAAAGGTGTAGGGAAAGTGGGAAGGGTAGGGGAAAGGGAATAAGGGAAAAGAAAAAAATATGAAAAAATGGAAATAAAGTGTAAATGGGTAGGGGAGGAGGGGGTGAAGGGAGGGCAGGGACAAGGAAAAATGAGAACCAAGACCTGTCATGTAGAGGTACAGGATCCCAATGATGAATGTAACTGTACCGTAGACCTAAATTGTACCAATAAACTCAATAAAAAAAAAAAAAACCCAGAACCACCATATGATCCAGCCAATCCCACTTCTGGGTAATGAAAAAAGACAAAGAAAACGGAAATGAAACAGTACCGCGAAGAGATGTCTGTGTTATGTGTAGTGCGCAGATCAAAGCCAGGGGGCTGTGTGCAGGCCCCACTCCCGGAGCCCACGCCGAGCCTCTGGAGAGAGCTTGGCACTGGAACTACCCACAGTACCCGAGTACGAGTACAGAAACAACTTTGCTGTTCGAAGTTTAAAGACACGCGTGTTCTAGGGAGGATGACACCTCCATGGTGAGAGACGCTGATCCATTTGATCTCGGTCATCACTATACACTGTATCTATATAGAAAGCCCTCATGCTGTATACCTTCAGTGTATTCGATCTTTACCGCTCAACTTCACATATTTTCAGAGAAAAATTAAATGTTAAGTCAATATTATACTTAAATTTCAATCCAATATTTTTAAATAACTGATAATTTCCATTTATTGGGCCTTTTCCTTTTCTCTTAAATCCTCTTATTTTAGATATACAATACATTTACGCTCATCACTGGGAACTCGTACCTTTACACGATGTACCCCACTTGGTTGACTGGGCTTTCTTGAGAACGTTATGTGCATCATGGTTGGGCTTTGTTACTGTCGTTCCTTTCCAGTGTTGGGGATCACACCTGGTGCTTTACACATAGTAGGTAAGCCCTACCACTGGGCTGCATCCCAGCCCTTTTTAAATTTTCTTTTCTTTTACTTCACTTTTGAGACAGGGCCTTGCTGAGCTGCCCAGGCTGGCCTCAAACTCATGGCGATCCTCCCACCTCAGCCTCCTGAATGCTGGGATGATAGGCGTGTGCCATGGTGCCCAGCTAAGTTATACCTGATTTTAAACCACAACTCCACTCGGTGTTCTAGGGAACAGACAAAGATGTAAGGTACATTGTCACCGGACAGGGCCCAACGAAGTCCCCGGAGTGGAGACGGGGAACTTAAACTCAGCCTCGCACAGCACAAGTTCGCTCACTCTTGTTGCAGGAAAATAATTTTCAGGACAAGCCAGAGAAAGGCACAGGAGAGATTTATTTAGGAAAGAAAAGGATGTGCTCAAGAGTGCAGTGTGGGCATTCGGAGAATGAGGTGTATTATTTCAGGGGCCGGAAACACTTCTGTTTCCCTTGAGGGGCAGAAAAGTATGGATTTGTGAATCTCTGGGAAGCTTCATCCTGGTCTTGATTTACAGGAAAAAGAAAAAGGCTGCCCTGCCATGACCCATCTTACAGGGGAAAGGTATGAGTCCAGTCTGTCTGAGATGATGGTCCTGAGAAACTTAGCCAAAAAGCATTCTTTGAATTCTCTCAATCTGTTCCTTTATTTTTTTGGATTTTTCTTTTCTTTTTTGAGACAAGGTCTCGCTATGTAGCCCAGGCTGGCCTTAAACTGCCATTGATCCTCCTGCCTCAGCCCCCTAAGTGCTGGGATTACAGACCTGCACCACCACGCCCCGCTACCACACTTTTTCGTGCTTAGAAGCACAGACCTGACTTCAGCACCACCACAGGACTGTAACACAGTCGCGCGGTATCAGCATTGACTCCTGGGACAGGGCGCCCCCGAGGAGACTCACACACCCACTGCCGGGAGCTAGAGCGGATCGTGGGGAAAAGACGGCCCCTTCAACGAATGGTGCTGAGAAAATGTCAGCCACCTGTACGAGACTGAAATAAGTCCCGAACTCACCCCGTCTGTAAAAAAAACACGGATCGAAACCTTAGCAGAAGTCCTGAAACTTTCAAATTGCTAGGGGAAAACATAGGGGGAAATGCTTCACAATATTGGTATGGGCAGTAATGTCCTCAATAGCATTCCGGTAGCTCAGGAGATAAGTGCATGGATTTGCTAACGGGATTATGTCAAATTACAAGTCTTCTGTAAGGCCAGGGAAGCAATTAAAAGAGTAAAGAGGCAGCCTACGGGACGGGAGAAAATAGTCTCCAACTGTTCACCCGACAAAGGACTAATATCCAAGGAACACGAAGAACTCAAAACGAAAAGTAACACCAAAATAACAGTTATTATTCAATAGATGGGGGGGTGAGCTGAGAAGCCTTCTCCCTAAAGACGTATGAATAGTCAAATATTCACCGTCTTCAGCGTCAGGGAAATGAGAAGGAAAATGTGGAGATTCCATCAGAGTGGAATGAAAAAGAAAACAAAAACTAACAGGTGCCAGCCAGGTTACGGGGGAGAACAAACCCTCCCCGCTGGTGGGAGGATAAATTCGCACACCCACTGTGGGAATCAATAGGGAGATTCCTGAAAACACTAAGCAGAGCTACCCCGTGACCTGTGCCTTCACTCCCAGGATCGGATCAACATCAGCTTTCTACAGAGACACCTGCAGGCCCACGTCTGTAAAGTACTGTTCACGTACCGGCCCACCGGGGTCTCCAAGAGCAAAGGAGACAGTCTCGGTGGAAAGGGCAAAACCTGGCCAGGTGAGGTGCACACCTGTAATCCCAGCTCTTAGGAGGCTGACGCGGGAGTCTAACCTTGGCTTCGCGGTAAGACCCTGTCTCAAAAAAGAGGAAGCTTATTCAAAGCTAGCTCCAAAGAGACAAGGAAGTGTTTCTTCATCTTTGCCTCACCTTGTCAGGCGAACCATGGCTTTTATTGCAAGAGAGAGAGAGGAAAGCAAAGCAAAGAGACCAGAAATAACGTAACGTCCCTTTTTTCTTTCTTTTTCTACTTTTTGTTTTATTTTTTGTGGTACTGAGGCTTGAACTCAGGGCCTTTGCTCTAAGCTACCTCCCCATTTCACCCTGAACCTTTTAAATGTTGAGACAGGGTCTCATTAAGTCCTTCAGTTGCCCAAGCTGGGATTGAACTTGCAGCCTCCTGCCTCAGCCTCCCGGAATCCCAGGATTACAAGCATGTGCCACCACAACTGGCTAAAATCCTACTTTTTAAAGATCCATTCTATCTTCTCCGTTATATTCACAATAGCATTCACAAGTTGTGGAATCAGCCTAGACGCCCATCAGCAGATGAGTGGATGGAGAGGGTGTGATACGTAATGTAGCATCGTCAGCCACAAAGAAGATTAAAGTCACATCACGGGCAGGAACACGGATAGAAGCGCAGATCCAGCAGGCTTCAGATATCAGGAGCATGAATCAGCTCAGAAAGACAAGTATCACGTGTGTTCCTAGGTGGAATCGAAGACATAAAGACAATTCATGGTGGATACGATCGGAGGACATCATATGCGTGTACGAAAATGTCCCAGTGAAAACCATTATTTTGTACAATTTTTATGAGCCCAAAATAATTCAGAAACATGTTTCAAGCAGGACATTCCAGTTCTGGCTTCGTTACCAACATAGTCCGGGAACTTGGACTTTGCTCGAAGCCTCATTTGCTCATCTGAAAAGTGGGGCAAAGCTCAGTTTACCTACAGAGATGGCGGGGAAGTAAAATGAAGGCGAAGATGTGAAAATCCTTCGTAGTGTTCACAGCTCTGTGCAAGCGAAGCTGTTCTGGACGCCCTACTTTCCAAGCGCAAGCCTGACAAAACCCCACAGGTGACTTTGCCAAGGAATACCTCGTATGTGACTAGTGCGACTGAAAAATGAGTTTAAAATTTTAATAAATTTTAATTATTGAGCTGAGAAACTCGTACTGATTTGGTTATTGGAAACTTTTAAAGTCTTCGTTTGTTGTTTCTGTTTCCGGTGGTGGTGGTGCTACCGCTGGGCCACTTCCTTGGCCCGTTTTATTTTTTATATTTTTTTGGAACCGGGGATCGAACTCAGGACCTTGTGCTTATGAGGCAGGTGGTGGAACCACTGAGCCAAATCCCCAGCCCTATGCCCTTTTCATTTTTTATTCAGATCAGAGTCTCCCTAACTCACCCAGACAGAATTAAACTTGTGATCCTCCTGCCTCAGCCTCTTTAACTGTTGGGATCACAAATGCCTGCCAAAGTACCTTTGAAACAACCTGGTTATACCAATCTACCTTTTAAGCTGTGAATTTTATGAAATCAAATACACATCAAGTGTTTCTGATAAAATTTAGAGTTTGAAATGAGATTTGCTTTGTGCAAAATACACACCAGATTTCAGACTTTTTTTTTTTAAAAAGCGTAAAATGTTTTGTTAATAATACTTTAGGGTTGTGTATTGAATAATGTTTTGGGTAAAATTAAATATGCTATCAAAATAATTTCTACTGTTTTGTACTCTTCTTAATGTGGCTACTAGAAAAGTTTACATTATAGCACGGCTTGCATTATGTTTCTATAGAAGGTCCTCTCTCTCTCTCTCTCTCTCTTTCTCTCTTTCTTCCTTTTTCTTTTGGGTGTTTTTGACGCAGTCTCGCTGTGTAGTCCAGGCTGGCTTTGAAGTCACTCTGTAGCCCAGGCTGGCCTCAAATTCGTAAGGATCCTCCTGCCTCAGCCTCCCAAGTGCTGGGATTACAGGTGTGTGTCACCACACCAAACTCGACACCCGGGCGATCTTGAAGCTGCAGTTAGTGCCATTGCCTTGGTGGAAGGGACCAGCACTGCTTTCTGGGTTTTGGTCGCAGGCTTTCTATGAGCAGGGGACGTTTCAGGATCAGCCAGGGCTAGGAAATTTCCCCGATCCGTGTTCATTTTTCTTTCACAACCCACCTGGCCCCAGCGTGCGGTGGACCTTCGCTCTCCAGCCAGCCAGCGTCCTCCCCAGCTCCCTCTCCCTCGGGCCGCCCCAGACTGGGATCTGGCCCCGCCCAGCACAGCTGGAGGTGGGGACGTCTGCAGCTGTGCGCCAGCGAGCGGGGAGCCCGGCCTGGAGTCCACGCAGGCAGGGGCTGTGAGGGGACGGAGCCTCGGCCTCGGCCTCCGCCCTGCGTCTCCATGGGGTCCTAGGCGCCGCCGGAGGGCAGCAGCCGCGTCCCAGCCCAGCCTGACCAGGAGCCCACGTCGTGCCTTGGCTTCACCAGGTAAGCAGGGTCTTGTGCATTCTGCTGCAAGTTCAGGAAAGTCAGGACGCGGCAGCCTGTCCGTAGGATCTTTGTGTTCAGAAAGTCCCAGTTCTCCCCTCCCCCCAACTCCGCCTGCCCCTCTCCTGTTTTGCCAGGGCAGCAAATCCAAGATGTAAAGTTTCCACGTCCGGAACGACTGGCAGATCTGGGTTTGTTTCCCCTTTTCTCCCGTAAATCGTGTGATTCACAACTGGCGCCAGATTTTAAGCACAGAGTTGGATGGAACATGGATTGAACCGCAGGCATGTTTCTGAACCACAGAGGCCCTAGTCCTGATTCATGCTTTGGGAATCTGTCTAGGAAACTGTTTCCATGCCCTCCAAGAGAGCACTTCATTGCTTTTTGGGTTTTTTTTGAGACAGGGTCTCACTATGTAGTGGAGACTGACCTGGAACTCACTGTATAGCCCAGGCTGGGCTCAAACTCAAAGTGATTCTCCTGCCTCAGCCTAATGAGTGCCGGTATTATAGGTGTGCGCCACCACGCCTGGCTGCATTCTGTTCATTGTAAGTACAGCCAGTAGTCACAGTGTTTGGGTTGAAATGCTTTTTTCTTTTTTTTATACTAGGGATTGAACTCAGGGCCCTTTTATTGAGCTGTATCTTCAGACTTCTTCTTAAATTATTATTATTGTTATTATTATTTGGTGCCAGGGATTGAGCTCAGGACTTTGCACTTGCAAGGCAGGTATGGTGCCACTGAGCTAAATCCCTGGCCCTAAAATCATTTTTTGAGGCAAGTTCTCCCTAAGTTGCTAAATTGCCCAGGCTGGGCTCAGATCTGTGATCCTCCTGCCTCAGCCTCTCTGTGCTGGGATGACAGGCCTGTGCCGCCACACCAGGCTGCCTTTAAACCTCCAGAAGATGTCTTGTGTTCCCTTTGTCAACAAGTGGGACACAGCGGATAAGCCTGAGATGTGGATTGGTACCAAGAAGTGGCAGTGGACACAGAGGAAGCAGGGAGAAAGAAAATGCCGTGTCTGAATGCAGGGATGAGGCCCTTGTTCCAGCTCAGCCCTGCACAGCGGGGTACAGAGGCGACACTGGTCAGGTGGCTTCGCCGTTTCCCTTCCTCCAGGGCCTCGGCACTGTTCTCCTTTCTGGTCACACAGTGGATTCCATTCCTCACTCTGGTCCGGCTGCGCACTGCAGTGGTGAGGACACCGGTCCTAGGGTGAGGACAGGAGGTTTCTCACCCTGGCTGGGCACGTGGATTCACGAGCACCTCTCCCTCCTCATCTGTAAAATGGGAATAAAATGGCGTCACGTTGACAAAAAGCAATGCGGTAAAGAAAATGCGCGGTGCGGCCTCGGGTTTGGTGATGCTGACGGGAATGACCACTTCCTGCCTGCCTTCGTCCCTCTGCTTCCGGACCAGCTGGATGCTCCACGTGTCTCACATGGCATCGCTCTGGGACCTGCTCCCTCCCCTCACACTATCTAGTCCCCAGGGCCTTGAACTTGCTAAGCTGCCCAGGCTGGTGTCAAACTCATAATCCTCCTGCCTCAGCCTCCTGAGTGCTGGGATGACAGCAGTAGGTCCCATCCCCGGCAAACACCTCTCTTTCTTTATTCCAGTCTTCATAAAGCCTCGTAGCTTCCCTTTTTAGCTCCCAAGGAACAGGTTCTCTACAAGCTTCCTATTTTGGCATTTTCCAAAGAATGTTCTGGAGATCATGTCCTGCGGGGACGTAGGCTTTGTCTGAGACCTCGGCATGAGGGGTCCTGCGGATGCTGCAGTGGAGCCGGCTCAGGACCTCACAGGACCGCAGCAGACACCTCCCAGAGCTTCCGGGCTGTCCTGAATCGCCCCCACTGCCCTCACTTTGGCCCCCTGTGGACGCCTGCTTTGCGCCTCGCCTGTGGACAGCCACGGGGGCTCACTCTTCCTTTCCTGGTGCTGAGTCTGGATGTGTTTTGTCCTCTGGAAGCTCACAGGGCTGGCGGCTTGGTCCTCAAGAAGGCCGTGCAGGGAGAGGGTGTGAGCCTTTAAGAGACAGAGCCAAGGGGATGTGGGCACATCGTTGGCTGTGCGCCTGGTCCTGTGACAGAGCTGGTGCCATTTCCATCCGTGCCCACGGCCTGTCCTCTTCAAGTCATTCAATAGCACCTTCCCGCAGCCCCTGTCTTTCCTCTTCCGGTGTGATTCCTGCGCGTGATGGCTGACATGGGCTGCTCCCACTTTAGCATTGCTAAAGTGCACTTCTGAGTGAGTCTGGATGGTCAAGGAGGCGTGACTTTGGGTCGTGTCTGGTCCCTCGCCCCCGCCTCTCTGGCACTTTGCCCTGCTCTGCTTCCTGGACACCAGGAACTGAGAAGCCGTGCTGTTCCGTGCCCTTATGCGGTGCTGTTCCTGCCTTATAGACAGCTAACCGTGGACTAACATCCCCTGAACCATGAGTCAAATTAAACGTGTCCTCCTTTAGGTCCTAGCCGTCAGGTATTGTGTCCCAGAAACGGGAAACTGACTAATACACCGGACCCCATCCCTGCCCTTCCATGGTCGACAAGATTAATTGATCAAAGCACACCACCTCTCTGGATTCAGGTGATGACTTTAGGTTTCTCCTCAGCCTAACAGCCCTGAAAGCCCTACCAGCGGATCAGAGTTAGCATGTAAAAGCACTTGGGGGCTCTGATGTTTGAAGTAATTTTCAGACATATCCTTCCCACGTTTGCTGTCCAAGACACAGCTAATCCTGCCAGCCACTGCCAGGTCTCGAAGTGCTTTCTTTCCAGCTTGGCCACAGGCCCAGCTCTCTGGCGTCTGATGGAACAGCGCCTCATGAAGTCCTTCAGGGGCTGACTTTTAACTGTGCCAGGCTTCTCTGAGATTCCTCACCCTCTGCTACACCCAGCCCCAGCTGCTACTGCCCAGGGCCTTGACGGGAATTCCACCGCCCAGTGATGGCTCACAGCTCTCCCGTGCCCCGGTACTGACCCTATACTGTCACAGGGGAGGCCCTCCGCCTGGAGAGCTCACATTGGGGACTCCTGCTCCTGGAATGTGACCGGTTACTCTGCTCTTCCTTTCCTCCCCGTGAGTTTGACAGACTCTTTTCTCCTTGGGAGCAAAGAGCTAAGTTCAGGGCCGGCCTGGGCTACACAGTGAATTCAGGTGAGGCTGTGACTCAGAAAATAATCAGTGAACAAGAGAGACAAACTGCCCTGCCTTGGCAGAGCTTCCAGGGTACTCCTCGGACAGCCAGCTGTAAGCCAGTGCCCAGGCCGTGCGCTGCAGGTAGTGGTTGCTGAAGAAATGAAATCTGCACCTTGGCCGGGCTTAGGGCCTCGCTCAGGGTCTGAGGGAAGCGAGGGATGGTTAAAGGCCCTGGATAACACAGCAGAACGTTGCCCTCAGAGGTGCCCACAGGGGGAAAAGCACGGCCTGGCAAGGAGGCCTGGGCATCGTGAGAGATCCCGAGGAAGACTCTGTGAGGATCACGGCTCCGCCTCTGAGGCAGGCAGGAGGCCCGCGGGCTTTGAGCAGAGAAGCCCAGGATCTGACTCATAATGGAACTGGCTCCTGGTGGCTGCTCGATTACAAAGCCAACAGTCAGAAGCAGCAAATGTGGTGAAAAAGTGATGGAGGCCCTGGGCCGGGGGAAAATTCTGGACTTATTCTGAGAGGAGAGTGGCCATTGCTGGTCTACAGTGGGGAGTGAGAAACAGCAGCCGGAGACGACACCAAGCTTATTTCTTGCTGGAGCAATGATGGTTTTGCCCGGACTGGGGTGGGGAGATGATATTTGGGGGGACCAGGGGCTCAGTCTGGACCTGGGAGGCCTTCAAGTGGAGATGCCAAGGAACTGGCTGGGTTTAAGTGCCACAGACCCTGTGGAAGCTCTGGCCCGGGGACAGAAATGTGCACACTGTCAGAGTAGGAGTGGTGTTTAAAGCCGTGAGGCAATGTAGGATTTCCTCAGGAGGGAATTTAGAGAGAAAAGGAAGAAATCAAAGACTGTGCCGAGAGGTTTTGGCCTTTAGAAATGCAGGAGGTTGGGGATAAAGAGACTGTGCTAGCAAGAGACTGCTTGTAGGCTCGAGGGGTTCAAAAGTGTAAGTCTTTCGTAAAAGTCACCTAGTGGACTGGCTCCCCAAGATCATTTCACTGTGCTCAGCCATTGAGGCACTCAGGAGCCTCTGCAGCCATGGTGTGAGGGTCCTGGCTGCTGCTCAAGCAGGTGTAAACCTTGGCATAGTCCGCATGATGCTGGTACTCAGACATGTAGACTGCAAGGATTATGGGAGCATGGCGACTTCCACCCAGATTTCAAAGGAAAGGCTGACGGGCCAGGCAAAAGTGTGACAGGATTGGAGTCCCTGCCAGCCAACCCGAGAGAGCGACCTGTGAAGCCATGGGAGGGAAGCCAAAGCGCAAATGGAGACCCCAGGGAGGTGGAGAAGCCAGGAACATGGAGCATCTGCTGAGGAAAGCTGCAGGTGGCAGGCAGAGCCAGCCCGGGAGGGAGGCCATGTGTGCTGCACCCGGCAGGCCCCTAGGGCAGGGCTGCCTGCGCCCTTGGGAATCGCATCACACCACCACATGCCCCGATGCCAGACGCACAGCTACAGGATGTGATGTTTGCCTCGCTGGGTTTGGGCCCTGCATTGGTCTTGCTCTGGTCCATGCCCCTGTTCCTCCCGTTTGGAATGGGAATGTTTACCCTGGGCCACTGAATCTTAGTTTATAATGTACTTGTTGAATTTCACAGGGGTTCACAGCTAGGACTTTGCCTTCAGTCTTAGAGGAGACCTTGGACTTGGACTTTTGTGCTGGAGCTGTCACCTTGGGGAAGGGATGAACACGTTTGGGGTTGTACACAGGATGGTCACATCGTGGTGGGCAGGGCCATGACTTGGTTATTGTGTTTATTTGGAGACTGAACGTAGTTTCATGAGATATGACCGGGGCGGACTGTGCCAGTTACTCTAGACTGTCACCTGGATTGAGACCCCTGGAGAGGTGACAGGATCTGAAGATGCTGCCTCTCTGATGGGACAGCCCACTGGTGGATCCCAGCTGCGTGAAGTGGGGCCTCGTGGGAGGAAGCAGCTCCTGCTGGGTGGCCTTGGGGACACTCTGGTGCCTGGGCCCTTCTGCGCGGCTCTGCCCTGCTCGCTGTTTCCTGGGGGCCATGAGCTGAGCAGCTTTTCCTCCGCCACCCTGTCCGTGGCCTGGAACCATGGTGACAAAAACCTCTCTTCCTTTGAGTTGCGGGGGGCAGGTATTTGTCCTACAGCGGGAAGGCTGAGCCCGCCCACTAGTTAACTTCATGTTTACGCTCCATTCGAAAAACTCGCACGCCTTCCCAGAAAACAGCCTTGCTTCTCTACTTTTTTTTTTAGTCTTAAAAAAAGAAAATACTCTCATGTCCAATAAAGAACTCTCCACTTAAAAACTTACAGCCAGTAAGGTTACAGCACAGCATCCAGAAAGCTAAAAGTGCCCTACACAATCAGATTTCATCGTTCTCGGAAAATCAATACATAATTTTTCAGTCTGCTGGGTTTTATTTCAGGGACCTATACAGCTAATTGGACTCTTTTGAACTTTCTTTTTGACTTGTAGATTCTGTTTTCAGAGTTTCCAGTTCTGCAGGCATAAATCATTTTTACAGAGTCAAGTATATTCTTGTGAATATTTCAGTGATAATTACCATGACAGAAAGCTGCCAGGCGTTGTGGTGCCCATCTGTAATCCCAGCACTTGGGAGGCAGAGGCAGGAGGATCGCTGTGAGTTCAAGGCCAACCTGGGCTATAGAGCAGGAGCCTGTTTCAAACCAAAGAGAAAAAAATCGTGATTGTTATGAACACATTGATAGAATTTTAATTCTTTTTTTTTTCTTTTTATTGAGGTTATTGGTACAATCTAGGTATACAATACAATTACATTCATCATTGGGATTCTGTACCTTTACATAATAGGTCTTGATTCTCATTTTTCCCCTTGTCCCTGCCCTCCCTTCACCCCCTCCTCCCCTCCCCATTTACACTTTATTTCCATTTTTTCAGTTTCTCATATTTTTTTCCTCTCCCTTATTACCTAGAATTTTAATTCTTGAAATGGAATTTTTGTTGTGCTCTTCAGCTTTATTGACAAAATAGACATCTAACAAATATATAACTTTAGGGTACACTATGTGGTGCTTTGATATTCAGAGTGTGACATCATTGCCTCAACGTAACTGACATATCTTTCACCTTCATATAGTTATCTCTTGCGGGTGGGGTAAAAACACTTAGGATCTACTCTCTTATAGATTCCAACTTTACAATACACGCCCCCCAGGAACCAGGGATCGATTGGTGATTGTAATGCATGTGTTATGTCAGACACGAGAAAGAGGTTCTGTTGTCCTGTTGTACAGTAGGGTGACTCTAGACCACCATAATATACTGTAAATATATATATATATTTTTTTCTGTATATATGTTTTTAGATGCTGAAAGGATTTTGAGTGTTGTCACCATAAGGAAACATTAATCATTTAAGGGGTTACACATACGCACTCTTGACCACTACACAAAGCAGACATCGAGACACCAGACCCCTCACAATTATGTGTAACTCACAAGTAATCTGTTACAGGCAGCAAAAATCAATCTGCTGTGTGTCTATTAAGATTCATAGAGCAATACAACCAAGTGAGTTCTAAAACTTTTAAACTCTTAAAAGCAGTGACTATAGCACAACTTGCCTGCCCCTGTGTAGCCCAAGCGGCCCCCTGCGGTTCCAGAACCCTCCAAGGCTGATTGCTTCTGAGAGCGCTCACCACTCCCTGCTCTGCCCCAGGATTGTGAGCAGTTGCAGAATCTCGGAGCTTCGTTTCCCGTTCCAAGAGCAGGCGGCGCTGTGTCCACCTGTGGGGTGTGAGAAGGAAGGGGACCATGTATCTGTGGGTCAGCGGAGCTGTGAGCACATTGGGTCGTTAGTAAAGAGCAGCTGCGATAACTGTGTGGCCTGACCCTGTCCCTCATGTGCACACATCACCCTGGCACAGCAAGCCCACTCAGAAGGGCTCCCATTAGCAAGAAACTGACTCGCATTTCAAAGCATCGTAGGAAAAAATGAGGACTCAGTTGGTTTGGGTGAGTGGATGCTTGGGGACTCAGCTCCCCTTGTCCCCACGCCATGTTCTCCTGGGGGGCCAGGTGGCTTCTGTTATGGTGCCAAGGAGCTAAGTGTTGTGGCGCATACCTGTAATCTCAATACCTTGGGAGGCTGAGGCAGGAGGGTTTTCCGTTCAAGCCAAGCCTAGGCACTTAGTGACTTAGCGAGATCCTATCTCAAAATTTAAAAAGAAATTTTTTTTTTCAAAAGAGGGCTTGGGATGTAGCTCAGTGGTAGGGCTCCCTTGGGTTCAATCCCTGGGACCAAAAAATAAACAAAATAAAATGCACCCGAAGCCTGAGCTCAGAAAAAGCCAGAGGAATTTTCTGTTTTGATCCCATTTCCTCCCAGGTGCAGGTGGGGAAGGGAAAGCCCGCTCTGGGTGCAGGCTCAGCTGGCTGTGGAAGATCAAAGGGGCCTTGCAGCGGGTGGTTTGCAGGGAATGAGGCGTCCTGCCCAGGAAGTCTCGGAACCCAGGCTGTGGGTCCCCCGCCCTGCAGGTTGCCTCTGTCCAGCTGCTTTCTAAAGGTTACTGCTCCCTGCTGCTCTCCGCAGCCTCCAGCCCAAGGTCGCTTTCAGGAGTCCCTTTGAAGGACCCTAGCGAAAGGCTGACTTCACTTTAAAACAAATTGCATTTTCAAGACAAATTGTTATTTATGGCAAATTAATTTTTTTTTTATGACAAAGGAGGTCAGTTTCCCGCTCCTGTTGTGATCGGCAGAGTGGTGCAAAGAGTGAATGGTCACTTAAATGTGTCAAAATTTAATCTTAGATTTCCAGATTAAAGTTAATTTTATTATCTAAAATGTGTATCTAATGGTTGAACTTCATTTTTTATCGAAACTGCCCTGTTTCTCATTGAACCCAGGGCCTTTGAATATGCTAGACAACTGCTCCCCCAGTGAGCCCCACATCTCCAGCCTCCCTCTCCCCTTTCCTTTCTCTCCCGTTTCTTTTTTTATTTTGAGACAAGGTCTTGCTGCGTCACCCAGGCTAACCTTAAACTTGTGATCCGCCTGCCTCAGCCTCCTGAGTAATTGGGATTACAGGTGTGTGCCGCCGTGCCCAGTTGTCCTGTGTACCTCTAAGTGTGCACCGCTGCTGGTGACTGTCCAGGCTAAGCGCACAGATGGGCCACAGTAGCTGGGAAAGCCAGGAAGCGCAGTTACAGCAGAGCTGTTACAGCCGTTAACAGGTGCGGTGGAGAACAGAGAGAGTTTGTTAACTTGCTTGGTTTCTGGGCACAAATCGAGTACTGCAGAATGTAGTGCTGGCAACTGTTTTATAGTTTGTTGAGCCAGAAGGATCAAGAAATATTTATATTCTCTCCAGAATCCTAGACTTGGAACTGGAAGCTGTTGCAAGGTTCGGGAAGTTCCCAACGTGTCAGTCTTGCACAGAAGACACGGTCTCAAACACCCGCAGAAGACTTCCAGTTGATTCTCACTGAAACAAAACTTTACTCCTCAATCCGCAGGTCCCAGCTCTTTCCCGCTGGACATACATGGCGCTGCTGCGAAAAAGTAAGATCACAGGTTTTGAAAATAACGATTAAGTGAGACTGGGCAGAAGAGCACGGTAGGCCCCGCCCTCCCCGATGTCTGATTTTCAGGGCCGGTTTTCCTGGGGGGGTGCTGCGTGTTCTCCTGTCAGGGTAATTCCTGTGGAAAGTTAAGTATTTTGTGGGCCAGGGATTTAGCTCAGTGGTTCCGCCATCTGCCTCGCAAGGGCCCAAGTTCGAACCTCAGTACCAAAAAACCTAAGAGTTAAAATTAAGTATTTTCATCCGGCAGGGATCTCACACTTCCGTAAAACTTGGCAAATAGGATCTGTTTTCTCATTGCAAACAAACCCTCGCCTGCACGTCTCGGTCAGCCTTTCTGTATTCCATACCCCTGTCCTTAAAGGGTGGAATCAAGTCCGAGACCTGAAAGCCCTGAGTGGTGTGTGAGTCCGAGGGAAGACACACCGGCCTTCTCGCGCTAATGGCCCTGACCTCACGAGGGGACACCAAGGACTTTGAGTCAGAAACGCTGGCTTACAGCTACGACACGAACGTCCTCTGTGACCCCGTGCAGAGCGGGGTCCGGTCCCAGACCCAGGAAAACACTGCCCCGGTCCCCACACGTCTCAGGCCCCAAGAGCAAGCCCCGGACTGCAAAGCCGAGACCCCCAGGCTTAGGCCCGCTCTGTGTGCTCTACCCAGGGCAAGAGTTCGTGTGCAGGTCCTCGGCCAGGGGTGCACTGGCGGAGGAGCCCGGGTCACCGCCAGCCCTGGTTCGCACTCAGTGTAAATGCTGACCCGCTGCCATTTCCGTTTCAGTCAATCAAGCGTTGCTGCTCCTTCTGATCGTGACCGTCTGCGGGATTCTGTATAAGAAAGGGCATGAGGGGGCCGTGCCCAGGCACTGGGCAGGTAGGTGGGTGAGGGCCCCGGGGGGGCACAGCCTGCTGGGGAGGGACGGCGATGCCTTGCTCAGCCCTGGGGACCTGGGTCAGGCATGAGAGGCGCCCACTCAGATGGCAGAGCTGTTCAGACTGGCGCGCGTGAGTCTCCTGGCGGACGAGCTACACCACGCACCGCATCCCTCCCCCACCCACAGCTTCGGAGTCCTAGGGGCGGGTAATGCCTGGGAATTCTATTCTGTTTCTCTTTTTTCTTTTTCTTTCTCAACTGGGGATTGAATGCAGGGCCTTCACACTGAACTACATCTCCACTTTTTTTTTTGAGATACAGTCACACTAAGTCACTAGTGTCCAGGTAGGACTTGAACTTGCAATCCTCCTGACTCCGCCTCCCATGTGTTGGGGGTCCAGGCAAGCACTACCACACCTGGCTGGGAATTTCCATTTCTGATGAGCTCTACATTTTGCTTATGAAAATTGCCCCTTTTCTCCTCCCTCTGCTAATCCATTCCCATTAGTGGCCAGTGTCAGAATGCTCAGCTCAGGGTGAGCCTGTATTTATTCCTGGTCTTTGGCCATTGAAGGCTGCATAAAACAAATACAGCTAATGTTCTGGTGTGTTGCACACACACCCATTGCACACCTGGGACCCAGGGACACCTCGTGAACAGAGCCATGTCTCCCCTCCCACAACACACGTTACTTTCTGGTTATTTTTTTTTTCTTTTTGGTTTTTTGAGACAGGGTCTCACTATGCAGTTGAGACTGAACTGGAACTCACTATGTAGTCCAGGCTGGTCTCCAACTCACAGCGATCCTCCTGCCTCAGCCTACCAAGTGCTGGGATTACAGGCATGCGCCACCACGCCTCGCTACTTTCTGGTTATTTTTAAAAGTAAAAATCACTTAAAAGTCATTTAAAATGTGCATCTGGAGAGAGGGTGGCATCTGCACAGAGCCGTCTATGCCAGCTGGACTCACGGATGGTCACAGCACACGGCTGAGCACAGAGAGAGGAAAGGCGTCAAGCTGCACCATGGCGTCCTCTCCAGCCGCAGCGAGGAACGGATTAGTGATGCAGCTTCAGAACTACACCATGGGGCTGGGGCACAGCCCGGTGGCAGAGCACTTGCCTGGCACGCATGCGGCCCTGGGTTCAAACTCCAGTGCCACAAAACACCGCAAGAGTCACTGTGCTAAAGGGAAGGACCTGCTGCCCACAGACTCCATATGGCTCAGTCTTGCTTCTGCGAACCGAGCAGGAAAGGCACACGTGCGGAGAGGCCTGGCTGCAGACGGCTCAAGGGGACCCTTCAGGGGGACAGCAGTGTTGGGGAACAGGATCACGGTGCTGGCTGCAGCAGCTTCACAAGTTTGCTGCAATCGCTGAGCGGCATGCCTGCTCGGTAAATGTGAAGAGATCCGCGTTCGTCTGCTAGGCTGCCAGAGAAACACCAGGGACTCCGGTTTTCTCACGGTTCTGGAGGCTGGAAGGCCAAGCACAGTGCCAGCAGGGTTGGCGCGCGCGGAGACCTCTGTGCCGGGCTTGGGGGCGGCCCCTCTCGGCTGGGTCTGCATGAGGCCTCCTTCTGCATTGTCCTGGTCTCTTCCTCTCCCGGGCAGCAGAGCTCTGTTGCTTAGGGCACCACCCTGACCACCTCGTTTTTACCCAATTTGTTCTTTAAAGGCTCTGTCTCCAAACACAGTCCCATCCAGCGTTGCTGGGGGCCAAGACTGGACCATGTGAACTTCGGAAGGCCACCGTCCGGTCCGTGACAGTATCCGCATCGTGTATCGTTCTGGAAGAAGATGTTCGGAAGAGGGGCGTGGGAGGTCACACAGGTCACACGCCCCCTCGGTCCGTGCCCAGAACCAGCACACTCACTCTGCTCGTGCCAGGGCGGGAGTCTTAAACCAGCTGTGAAAAGCTCGACTTGGCCGATTGGTCAGCGATATACAATGGACAAAGTGCTTGTATCCCACGAATGGACCCAATGTCACAGTTTTATGCCTTTCTGGGTTAAAACTAAGAAGAATCCGTGTCACTGAGATACCATTCATAACAACGCAGTGTCGACCTGGAGAGATGTCCTTACACGTGTGTTAGTGTAAGAGCGAGTTGCAGAAGAGTGTGACAAATGTTGTTCCTCCACGAGGGCACAGTTGTGTCCGTTTCCTTGGGAGTTTCTAGGGAGTGAGGCTGGGGGTGCGTGTCACACTGGTAGCCGAGCTGGCCCCTTGGAATGGGTGTGGAGGAGCCCACGGGAGAGTCACAATGTACCGTTCTTCAGTGTGGACTGGGGTTCTCGTAAGAAGCGCATGTTAAATTTTATGAGAAGCTTTGAGTCAAGGGACCAGTGCTCGAGTTAATGTGCAGAGGCCCCGCGGAGTCGTAGCTGTGGGAAGGCAAGGTGCCGTCCTGCGCTCTCCTCCCAGCAGGGACATCTGCAGCCCCTCACCATTTCCCGGGGTTTTCCCCATCTCATCTCCTGTGCGGCAGAAACCGTCCTCTCTGAACGGGACTCCCAGCTTTGCATCGGGAGAGACTTTTCCCTCCTGGGCACAGGCGTGGCTGGACAAGACCTGTGGGTGGGAACAGGCCAACAGGAACCACTCCCAGCCGCTCTCCCGTCCGGCGATGCTTTCTAGCTTTGTTGGGCACCGAATTGCTGCCCGTGTGACTCAGGGCGGACCCAGGTGTCACACAGCCCCAGACCCAGAGACTAAAGTGGATGAGGACGCGCCGTCAGGTTTTCCCCAGCGCTCGGCAGCAGCATTCACTGTTTAAAGACACGAAAGAGGACTTCCAGGCCTGCTTCAGAAAGACGCAGGGACAGGGCTGGGGATTTAGCTCAGTGGCTGTGGCGCCTGCTTCGCAAGCACAAGGACCCGAGTTTGATCCCCAGTACCAAAACTAAATAAGTAAATAAATAAAAAAGAAAGTGACAAGGACAATGATGCATAAGGGTCCGCGGGGAGAGGGAGGACTGTGAGGGGGATTCAGGGCTGTGTGTCTCTTACTGTAATGAACTTGTAAACGTGTAAACCTTCACGGTATGTTTTCATCGCCTGTGTGTACACCTTCGACCTTCTCTCGGTGCCCCTCTCCTGGAGACACCTCCTCACACAGGGCTCACGCTGTCTGCTGCCCGCTGAGCACCTTGCTCCACACCTGGGAGCCAGACTCTGCCCGGCTGGAGGGCAGCTTGTGAAGGGCGCCCATCCACTCTGTTCCCGCCAGCAGACGTTCAGCATTTTCAGGCTCAGCGCGCCTAACAGAGCGCACAGCCCCGTGAGGAGGCAGCACAAAATAAACTCCTCAGATGCCACATGCCGAGGGCTAAAAAGCCCACCCAGCCGTCTCTTCTCCACCCAGGATGTCTGGAGAGTGTGCCCTGTGCCCGTCTCGGGGCTGCATGCAGAGGATACTGAGATGAACAGGACGCTGCTCGTGCCCTTCAGAGCTCTGGTGAGATAGGGAAGGAGAGACGAGGCAAAGCTGGAATCAGACACAGCAGGGCACAGCCAGCCTAGAAAACAGGGTGCACCGATTGCGTCAGGCGCTGGTGAAGGCTTTGCGGAGGGTCTGGCCTGTGCCATTGTGTAACAGTGAGCTGTGCAGGAGAGGAGGGAGGAGCATCCCCACCCACCCCAGGAACAGCGTGTGCGGGTTCTGAGCTGAGGAGCGCATGATGGGGCAGGGATCCACAGCAGTGAGGTGTGGCTGTGCTGGGAGGAGGCAGGGCTGCCCAAGGGAGCTGGGGCTGCATCTCAAGGGGCTTCCTGTGGCAGGCAAACCACGGAAAAACTTTCACACCAAGAAGCACAGTCATGCTGTGCTCGAGGCATACCATGTCCCTGCCTGCAGGTAACCTCTTCAAGAGGATAACTCACTCCAAAAGGGACAGTCCTTAGAAAAACATTTTTTGGCTTGTTATAAAAATAAATCATGCACTAGGTGTGATGGTGCACACCTGTAATCCCAGCACTTGGAGGCTGAAGCAGGAGGATTGCCACAAGTTCAAGGCCAGCCTGGGCTACATTGTAAATTGAAGCCCAGCCTGAACTGCTACAGCATGACCTTTGAGAATTTGGAAAATGTAAAAGAATAAATAAAGTTAAAATTTTAAATAATTGCATAAGTAGATATGGGTCCATTTGCAAATGTATTGCATTGGGATCAGATACGAAAGAGCATTTTCTATTCCTTTCCCCCAGTAGCGTAGTATTAGGAACATTCTCTCATGACAGGAAATACATCATGAAAGCAAAAGTATGTTAGTGGTGGAAACTGCAGATGTTCCACAGGCTGATGAAAAAGATGCAGAGGGAGGGGAGGCCACTTAGTGTGTCTTAAATTGCACAGATTGGAGAACCTGGCTGTGAGTTTTCATTCATGCTTGTTGACATGAACATCAGATAGAATTGACTCAGGCCCGAGTGGTAGAGGTTTTGCAACAAAAAAAGGTATCTGTAAAAAAGACTGAGTTCTAAGTAAAACTTGGGTGCTGACAATGGATATGATACGTACAAATAATTACTATTCTCCACACCGGGACGCTGGATGGTGGTAACCATGATGCTTTGGCATTGGTATTTATCTCTTTTCAGTGCTGAACAGAATAAATCATTTATCCATCCTGTGCATTTGCCTTTTCATTCATCTCCTTTATCTCATCATGTTTGAGAAGCTTGACTAAAGAGTTACTAGAGGAAAGAAAACCACAAGCAGCACGTTTTATAGAAATATAGGCAAGTGACTACTATTCTGATTCAAGGAAGAGTTGAGAACAGCTGCATCAATGAGACTTAGTTCTTCATGTATTTTTCATATGTGTGTGCGTTTTAGACTGACTTCTGTAAAAGATCTCCAAAGTACCTGGGACTTAGAAGTTTCATTTCTCATTCAAATGAAAATGTGATGTGTCAATTCTGTGGTCATCCAGATCAAAATTCCTTCTAGGGAGAGCAAGAATTTCTTTGAAGGGTAGACCCCATAGTTGCACACATTGCTTGAACTAATGTGCCGTTTGTCAGGATGCATCACACATAGCTGCAAGGGAGTCTGGAAAAGTAGTCTTAGTGGCCAGCTGTGTGCCGGGTGAAAGGTCACCCTCTGTCCTGGGGGAAGGACAGGCTGGATGTTGGTGAGCTAGGGGTGGTCAGCTGCTTCCCTGCTCTGCTGTCTTCCCCCAGGAGTGTGGAAGGCATTGAACTACTCTGCTGTGAAGTTCCTTGTCCTGAAACACTGATCTTGCTGTTTGCAGATGAGGACTCGGAGCCTCCAGAGGACCTGGAAGATGAGATCCCTGTGGTGATCTGTGCCGCAGCTGGGCGGATGGGTGCCACCATGGCCGCCATCAACAGCGTCTACAGCAACACCGATGCCAACGTCATGTTCTACGTGGTCGGGCTCCGGAACACTCTGCCTCGGATACGGTAGTGTACACAGCATCCTAGTTGTTGTAGTCAGAAGGATTAGGCAGGGAATACATTAAATACGGGACACATAACATATAAAGTTATTTTATGATAGTTACCCAGAGTCAAATGCAAGGGAGTGCAAGAGACTTAACTGCACACTAGAAGCCCCAGGACATTCATAGATCCCAGCAGTTTCCCACACAAGGACAGCTAAAGGCCTAGAGCCCACGGCAATGGCTCCTGCTTGTCCGTATTGAGGATCTGCACCCGGAAGGCCCAAAGGCCAGTGGTGGAAGCCAGAAAACCTGCACTGGTGAGGTGAAGGATCTGTGCCACCAGGCTGAGGGATCCACTTTGGAGTCAGGAAGTGACACTCACGGTAAAGGTCAGAGCTCCCCTGATGAAAGCAGCAGCCACTCCGTGACAGCAAGGTCCGGAGCTACTCCTCCTCTGAGAACAGCCTAGTTCTCATCAGGAAAACCATCTGCAGCAAGCTTCTCCTAGAAAACTAAGAGACCGAGATCTTCCCCTCCAGTTCTCCCTCTCTCTCTCTCTCTCTCTCTCTCTCTCTCTCTCTCTCTCTCTCTCTCTCTCTCTCTCTCTCGTGGCTATGGGTGACAGTCTTCAGGTGGATCCTCCATGCCCAGACCACACTGATTCAGTTCAGCCAGGCGTTACGAGTTGACCATTAGTCAACCCACTACACTAGTCTTCCCTTCCTTTCTCTGAGTGGATTGATTCCCTGCCTCCTTGGCTTGATGAGTGCTGTAAGAATGAACAAGGACTGTCTCGAGGTTGAGGCAGTGACTGGCAAATATGTGTCCCCCTCAGGATGTGTCCACAAAGCCGCACCGATCTTCTAGGTGTGTGCAAGCTTGACCCAGCCCTTATGCAGCTCACGCACAAGTCTAGGAAATGGTTTCTCTGTTTGCCACTTTCCCTTCTTGACCTGAGAGAGTATGAGCCTAATTTAACTATTTCAAGATAGCTTGGAGTAATTACATATATAATTTCTCTTGATTTATTTATTTTTTGATGCTGGGTATTGAACCCATGGTCTTTCACATATTAAGCATGAGCTCTGCCACTGAGCTACATCCCCAGAACTTTTGATTTTATTTTGAAACTGTCTCACCAAGTTGCCCAAGCTAGAATCCAACCTGGGAACTTCCTGTCTCAGCCTTTCAAGTAGCTGGGATTACAGGTGGGCACCACCATATCCTGCCCCTATAATCCCAGTTTTGAACCACAAACTTATAATTTGAAACTGAGTTTTACTGCCCCATACCATTCTAAAAGTTAACTTTGGGTGAGACTAGGAAGAAATAAACAGAATACCAAAATGTAAGTGTATTATAGAAATATGAGATGACTAAAGTCTTATATGTAGAGAACCTCCTGGGCCCAGAAATAATAAGAAAAGACCGACGGATCCAGCTGTATAGTATGAAAACTTTTGCATAATGAAAGCCAACTAGTGAAATTAGTTGCGCAACAATTAGGAGAAAATATTCTCACATGTCTTATAGACAAAGAATTACTATTCAAATAAATCAATCTCCAAAAAGCATTATAAAAACACAACTTCCAAGTCTTAAATCTTTGAGTATGGTAATTGTTGTGAGTGTTCACTTATTAGTCCTTAAGTTTTGAGATATAGACCTCTACAGAAAAAAACTTTAAAAAGAACTGCTGCAGTAGAAAAATGAGTATACAAGAGGAAAAGACAGTGAGGCCCTGGGTTTGATGCCCAACCCTGGAAGAAAATAAGAAGCAGCAGTTCATTGGAGAAAAGTACAAATGGTCCACAAATAAAATGCAGTCGCCCTCCCCTGCCACCCGTGTTTCGGTAACTGTTATCACTGAAGTGAACACAGGCAAAGACTGCAACCTGCTCCCCACAGCCGCCTGCCTTCACTGAAGCTTGGTGCCGGAGGCGCTTTCTGACCGCCCCTCAGCCCCATCCCAGGTCTGACTTGCGGTCCCTGATTTCTGACTCGCCGCCTACCTTTCCCACGCATGTCTAGGTCATTTTGAAATGTGTGTTCAAGTTTCTAGTCTATTTTTCCACTTAGCTCTTTTTTTTTCCTTCTTACTGATATGACTGATTTTTTTTTTATGGTTCAAATTTTACAGATCTAAATCTTCTTCAGATTTAATTTTCTTGAAGTGCCAGGGATAAAACCCAGGGCCTCACACATGCTAAGCAAGTGCTCTGCCACTAAGCCATACCCCTGCCCTCTATTCTTAATTTTAAAATGCACAAATGCTACCACAGGTGGCTTTCATCAATGGAAATTTTGTTTTGAGATTACTTCTGTCAACACTCTCATGATGGATTGGGTAAAAGAGGTTCTTTAAGACTGAGAAATTGGCCTGGTGTGGCGGTGCCTGCCTGTAACCCCGGCACTTGGGAGGCTGAGGCAGGAGAATCGCTGAGAGTTGGAGGCCAGCCTGGGCTCCATAGTGAGTTCAAGGTCACCCTGCACAACAAAGCAAAATCTTGTTTAAAAACAAAGAAAAGAAAACGAAAAAGATTGAGAAAATGTAGGGGAGAGGGTGGGTGGGAGAAGGAAGTGAAGATGGGGCGTGAGGGCAGATGGGGAAGATGGAGCGAAGGGGCAAAGAGACAACAGTAGATTCAGATCACCCTGAAGTCTGCAGAGCGGACTAAGCCAGGCGCGCCTGTGATCCCAGCACTCGGGGCTGAGGCAGGAGGATCACTGTGAGGTCAAGGCCAGCCCGGGCGACGCAGTGAGACACTGTCTCAAAATAGAAAATAAAAAGGGCTGTGCACGTAGCTCAGTGTGAAGGCCCTGGGCTCAGCTCCCAGTAGTGCAAAACCCAAACCAAAGCCAACAAAAAGCCCGCGGAATTAAAATGACCAGAGCGTTTGGAATGGCCCAGTTTGCCGCATCCTGAGCGGGTACCATGTGGCAGGGTCCTGGCAGCTGCAGATGCTGCTTTAGAAGGAAAAGGGGGCACTTTTTTGTCCTCCCAGTTTCCTGGGGAGGATATTTGGATCCGAGGAGAGATTTGGTTACTGTTTTGCTTTATTTCCTTTGCAGGAGGTTATGTAATTGGGGGTGGTTTTGCAGGGAAGAAAAATTTGAAGCCAGACCAGATGGCTGAAAAAAATCAGAAGGACTCACAGACTGAACCCTACGGAGTTTACATGTTTTCTTTTTAAGTCTGAGCAGCAGCAGCAGATTGGCTCCGGGCCAGCAGGCAAAGTCAGCAGAGCTGAAGTGCGTACTTACTGTCTCTTCAGGAAATGGATCGAACATTCCAAACTCAGGGAAATTAACTTTAAAATTGTGGAATTCAACCCTACAGTCCTTGAGGGGAAGATCAGACCAGACTCGTCGAGGCCTGAATTGCTCCAGCCTGTGAGTAGGAGTCCCATACATGCTGGGACAGTCCTCGGGGAGGCCTTGCTCGGGGTGGGGCTCTGGTCACTGGGATGCACAGCCTCTGCCTACTTACAAAGCCCTCATGGCAGAAAAGATTCAAGATGGCTTGTAGAAGCAGAATAAAATTATTGCAAATAAACGAGGCATAAAAACATGTAGGTTGGAGCTGGGCATAGCGGCACACGCCTGTAATCCCAGCACTTAGGAGGCTGAGGCAGGAGGATCACTGTGAGGTCAAGGCCAGCCCGGGCTACATAGCGAGACCCTGTCTCAAAAAAAGGAGGCTGTGTGTGTGTGTGTGTGTGTGTGTGTGTACACGTGTGAGTGTGAACGTGTGGGGGTGGGTGGCCAGGTAGTGCCCAGGAAGAAAATCTCTAGCCCTTAGGCTCTTGTCCGCACGCTGCTTGTGCACTGCCTTCAGCTCCGGGCAGCCCCTCGCCTGTGACGCAGTCTGCCCACCACTGCAGGTGTTTATCCAGGCTGGGCACTGACCTGGGGCAGTGAAAGGGGACCCTCACCAAGGCCCACCTCCTGGCCTTTCTCGGGATGGAGGAGCTGAAAGGCTGGGCTGCTGCTGGCTTGTGGCACGTGTGTGTAAGCGTGTGAGGCTGACTTCCGGCGTTACCACGATGACTGCGTGTGGAGGGGCAGGCAAGCTGGCCGGGACCTCGGTGCCAGGGAACCTCAGGCCCTGGGGCAGCGTTCAGAGGGGGAAGACTCGGCAGGGGCGCGTGGACCCGGAGTCCCACTCAGCACCGAGCCCAGGTCCCCTGGCCCCAGCAGGCCGCTTCCTCCTCCTCTGTGCGCTTCGACCTCTCCGGAGCTGGTGGAAGCTGTGACCAGGGTCAGTGTGACGCCCCAGAACCTGCAGAAGACGTGAGCCTCTACCCCCTCCCTCCCCACTGTCTTGTTCTGACAGCTGAACTTCGTTCGCTTTTACCTCCCTCTTCTTATCCACCAACACGAGAAAGTCATCTACTTGGACGACGATGTCATTGTGCAAGGTACGCTCGGGGTCCGGGGTGCTGGGATGCCGGGCTCTCTGCTCGTTACCATAGGGAGCTCAGCCTGGGCACCAATGTGGGCTACATTGAAAGCAGGGCTAAAAGTTTCCCGGTTGGTCCTGCTGGTTTCTGATGGCCACCCTGATTATCAGGTCTGCCGTAAGCAGTGTGGTAGCCGTTCCCTAAAATGTGCAGTCGGGCATGATGCTGCTTACCTGTAATCTCAGCACTGGGAGGCTGAGGCAGGAGGATCGCTGAGTTCAAGGCCAGCCTGGGCTACACAGTGAGACCGTAAAAAAAAAAAAAAAAAAAAAAAAAAAAAAAAAAAAAAAAAAAAAGTGCTGAAATAGTTTCACTGTTGACATCTGTAGCAACCTAAATCAGGGTGGTTTGTTTTTTGAGTCTCACTATGGAGCCCAGGCTGGCCTCAAACACCCAGTGATCTTCCTGCCTCAGCCTCCAGTGTGCTGGGATCACAGGAGAGCGCCATCACCCTGGCTCTTAAACTTGGGTGTTTAAATGCTGTGTCCCAGCTCTTCCATGTGCCCGGAGCACACGTGTCGCCCTGAGCTCCCCACAGCAGTCGGTCTGACGAATGCCACCCTGATGGCAGCTCTGAGACAGGCACATCTCTTACCAAGCAAACTGCCAGGGCCCCGACATCAGGGCCTGCCCCTCCCTGTGGCAAACTCTGGAACTGAGCTCCAAGGCTCTTTCCAGCCCTGCACTGTGCGCTACATGACTGTGACCGCTGCGTTTCTGGACCAGGGGACATCCAGGAGCTGTACGACACCAGCCTGGCGCTGGGCCATGCGGCGGCTTTCTCGGACGACTGCGACCTGCCCGCAGCACAGGACGTCAGCAGGCTGGTGGGGCTGCAGGTGGGCATGCGTGCAGGCTGCCCATTGCTGTCCCCCCCTCAGCTGGGCAAACCCCACTCCTCACCTGGAAGGCGACCTTGGGTGTCAGCGCGTGCTGAAATAACGTGACGTCCACGTGGCCCACAGGTAGCGAGACATCCGAGACACAGCTGTGGAGTTTTCACCACCACACTGGTGCTAGCGGTCGAGTCTTCTGCGAGAGACTCCAGAACTGGGGGCGCTATCCACCCTCATTTTTGAGATAGGTCCTTGCTATGTTGCCCAAACTGGACTCAAACCCGAGATCCTCCTGCCTCAGCCTCTCAGAGTGCCATGATTACAAGTGTGCAAAACTATATCTAGCTTTTTTCTTATTAGAGGAAAATATTAATTTTGTTGAAGGATAAAGATCTCCTCACCCTGCTATAACTTTCAACCTGTATTCAAAGCTAGCAGAACAAAAAAACAAACAACTCTGTATGTCTGGTGTGGTGTTGCATGCCCGTAATTCCAGCAATGGAGGCTGAGGGAGGAGGATCGCTGCAGGCTCCGGGCCAGCCTAGGCTCCATAGTGAGTTCAAGGGTAGCCTGACTGCATAGGGAGACCCCGTCTCCAAGGAACATCACTTTTTAGAAACCCAAGACCCCTGTTCCCTCGCAGAACACATACATGGGCTACCTGGACTACCGCAAGAAGACCATCAAGGACCTGGGCATCAGCCCCAGCACCTGCTCCTTCAACCCCGGTGTGATCGTCGCCAACCTGACGGAGTGGAAGCAGCAGCGCATCACCAGGCAGCTGGAGAAGTGGATGAAGAAGAACGTGGAGTGCGTGCCAGCCTCACCTGCCCCCAGCCAAGGGGACAAAAGTTTCTGTGCATAGTTTGGGGCTTAGAAGCACTTCCTAGCACGCCTGTAATCCCAGCACTTGGGGGGCTGAGGCAGGAGGATCGCTGTGAGTTCGAGACCAGCCTGGGCTACACAATGAGTTCCAGTTCAGTCTCAACTGCATAGTGAGACCCTGTCTCAAAAACCAAAAAAAAAGCAGCACTGCCTGAACCCGAGGGCAGATTCTCCTAGACACGGTGGACAAAGAAAGGGCATAAATAAGCATCTTTCTGCAAATGACAGGAGACAGGAAAATGGAGACCCCAGGGGCAAGGAGTCCGTCCAACACATCTTCCTATGCTGTTCAGTAATGTACCTTTTTTAGCGAAAATCTTCCTATAAACATTTGTTTTTAAGGATTATTTTACAAAGCCAATGTTGCTTTTAAAGTCGGGTATGTTTTTTAGTCTTTTTTTTTGAGACACGGTCTCACTGTGTAGTAGAGATTAGCCTTCAACTATGCAGCCCAGGCTGGATCAAAACTCTCAGAGATCCTCCTGTCTCTGCCTCCCCAGTGCTGGGATTACAGGCATGGGCCACCACACCCAGCCAAAGGTTGGCTTTTTAATTTATAATTTTTCATTGTGAAAGTTAAAAAAAAAAAAACATAAAATAACTCTAGTACAGTCATGACTATCATGTCATTGTATTTCCTATCAAGCTTTCTTATCTGGATATTTGGATACCATCATAACCTTGAATTTGTAAGTAAAGCTATTCTAAACAATGCAGGATCATAATTTGATTTTCCATGTCTACCACATAAAAAAGGCTGAGAGTTAAGTTAGCAAAGTCTTAACATTGTGACTCCAGGAAGTGTCTATGGGAGTCCAGTTTGACAAATTTTTTTTTGTTTTTGAGACAGGATTGTACTGTCTTGTTCAGGCTGGCCTTGAACTCCAGGCAATCCTCCTGCCTCAGCCTCCTGAGTGCTGAGACTACAGATGTGCACCACTCCTGGCTTCACAATATTCAAAATAAAAATTTTGGAAAAATGAAAGGCCCAAGGTTCAGTTGTACAAAGAATGTCTTACATCCTTAAAAAACTGCATTAGTCTTTCTGTGAGCTTGCAGGCACTCAGAGCCAAATGCCTTTCTCCGCTATCCTCAGGGAAAACCTGTACAGCAGCTCCCTGGGCGGCGGCGTGGCCACCTCGCCCATGCTCATTGTGTTCCACGGGAGACACTCCACCATCAACCCGCTGTGGCACATCCGGCACCTGGGTGAGTCCCGCGGGGACCAGATGCAGGCCACAGCCGCGCTCCAGGGATCAGGAGCAGCGGGATCGGGCCGGGCCACGTCGGTATGGCCTGCAGGAACTTCCGTCCTCAGGGGCAGGGTGGGCCGAACCCACAGAGAGCGGGCAGGGGTGTGAGTTTAGGCTGCACATCTGAGGAGCAGTTGCACGGCCTGGCCAGGGTTTGCTCAGGCAGTGCTGCCCAGGGTCTGGATGGCTCTGCTTCCTGCTTTTGGCCACCAAGCCGCAGCCCCAGTCTACACTGCATATTGCAAATCCACTGCTGTTTAATCCTAGCTGGGTTTGTGGTTCAATTTCTGTGCCTCAGTTTCCTCATTTGCACACTGAGGCTAACAGAAGGAATAGATCATAGAATATGTGCACATCACTTAGAAGAGCCGGCACAAGCTCACAGGCACCGATCCCAGGCCTCTGGGCCAACCTGCTAGGAAACTGAGAATGTTCTGGACTCTGACAAATGTAACATGTCCAGTGAACCCAGGTTTTACCACCACAGCACATGCATGCAGGCTTGGGAGTGTCTGGGAGGGTCCTGGGGGCATCACTAGCAGAACCCTCCCGACTTTCCTAAGCATATGCACAACCACACAGGACTGGTGTGCGGACACATGCCTGTAAATCCCACAGTGGGAGGCCGAGGCAGGGGGATCGTGGGTTCAAGCCCAGCCCGGATCCTGTCTCAGAATAAAAACGAACTGGGATGTGGTGCAATGCTAAGGTCCTAGGTTCAATCCCTGGTCCTGTAAAACCAAAACAAAAAACAACTGCAGGCATGGCCTGGGCACCTAGCGGTCCATCACTAAGTGGCTGCTAACATCTCCATGCGCTTAAGTCCCACCCAGGCAGGAGCTCTGGAAGGCCGTGTTGGGACTGCTCTGTGAAGCACAGTCTAGGAATGGAGACTTGGAATTACATTTTAGGAAATACTGTCAAGTAGAAAGGACATGATCTTCCTAAGGGAAATACCCATTTTGGGTAAGGTTTGGGCGTCAGGTACATTGGCAAGACCTACACAGCAACCACCTGACCTGGTTTTAGGGCACTCTGGATGCCAGAAGCAATGTTACCAATGTTACTAATGGGTCTAAGTACGTAGACTTAGGATTTGGGTTTTTTTTTCTTTTGGTATGGAGATCAAACTCAGGGCCTTGCACTTGCGAGGCAGGCAGAGCAGCACTGAGCTAAATCCGTGGCTCAGTAGGACTTAGAATTTTAAATATGTATTAATCACATATGGGAGGTTCTGGGTTTAATCCCCAGCATCACACACAAAATTGCATGCATATATATACACACACACACACACACACACACACACACACACACACACACATATGTTAACGCAGCTGTTAACGTCCCAGCCACAGCTAGGGGACCCTGACTCCCACACACCCTCTCTACTCTGTGGATCTCTAGTTACTGGAGAAAAAAATCACCAAATTCCTTTCCATGGAAAGAAACCTTAACACTATACAGGGCATTTTTTTTTTAAAAATGACATTCACACGCCTCGGAGAACTCCCAGAAAGTCTTCCGCGGTCTTTATTCCGAGTGACGGCCTCGGACAGCGCGGTATTGGCAGCACGCCTCGGTGTAGTACCCTTCCGCCGGCTTGCTCTCCGTCTGCACTATAAACTTCCCATTCCCTTCTGTTTCCTCCAAATGCACTGCAGGCTGGAGTCCCGACGCCAGGTATTCGGAGCGCTTTCTGCAGGAGGCGAAGCTGCTGCACTGGGACGGAAGATACAAGCCCTGGCGCCTCCCCAGCGTCCACACCGACCTGTGGCAGAGCTGGTTTGTCCAGGACCCGGCGGGGGTGTTCAGAGTCGGCCACGACGGCTGATGCGGCCCAGCACGAACAGGTTTTACGTGAACGTGGGACTGTCCCTGGGTAGCCGGTCCTAACTCTGTTCTTCATGGACACTGCATTTTAGACACGGATGTGCGGTCCCTGTGTGCAGGAGACACACCCGCCTGCGCACCTTGGGCTCCAGGCTCTTGCTCACTCGCTTGCGTACAGACGGCAGGTGTGGAATCGACACAGAGCAGAGAAACACACCCTCTGGAGAGCCGCCATCAATCTGCTTACCACTGAATGGCAGTTATGTTCACACACTGTTAAAATTCGTAAACATATTTTTCACATCCAAGTGTATTTTTTCACACAGGTTGCCAATCTTGTCTTTTATCAAAACTCTTATGTTTAAAACATGGAAGTCTATAAAAATAAGATACTCATGGATTTTTATGATTTCCTTATGTATTTCTTTTGGTATCGGGGATCGAACTGGGCCCTTGGGTTTGTGACGCAGGTGGCGGAACCACCGAGCCAAATCCCCGTCCGCTCCTCGTGTATCTTATTCTACGTGTTAAAGTGAAGGTGAACTGATCTCGGGTTTACAGGGGAAAGAACGCCAGGGTTTTAAATGGTAAAAAGCACCAGATTTTCAAATGAATTAAAAAATCTTTCAATATTATTTAATGAAAAAGTCTCCTACAGTCGTGTACAGGGTGTGTCAACGTTTCCCAGTCACAGCCCGCTGGGTGGGAACGGAGCGCGCGTGCTGGGACCAGAGCTCCGTGAGTGGTTATGCTAAAACGAGGTGTGTCCTCACCCCCAGGACGTCTGTGCAGAGCACAAGTCCCACACCAAGCAGCACCCACACACGCCCTGAAGCGCCTCAAGGAAAAACACCCATGGCTCCCAGTCCCTGAGGCGAGGCCCTGCCGCCCTGCACGGCCGCCCTTGTAAACAGCAGCTCAGCACAGCAGTTAAATACACGAGTGCCTTCCACTGGACCCACGCACAGAAGAATAAACCATCAGCGCTAAGCTAAACAGCATGGTGAGACCCACAGTGAGGATCTGGCTCTCACATAAATAGAACCACAGGCTACATGCCGTGTGGGGGGCAGAGAACCCGATTTCTCACTGCCGAACAGCCTGCGCCCGGCTCCCTCTGCACCGCAGGACAGGAGCAGGTGCGAGCTGCCCCACGGCCAGGCCCGGGACCGGACACTGTAGCACCACGGAAAACGCACCGGAAAATCAGGAAGGTGTAAGTCCGCCTTCCCACGAGGGTCACCGCGCCACAAGAGCGAACAGGAAGTTTTAAATCCCTGCTGCTCACAGAGCCGGCAGAACACACGCCTGCTGTCGGACTCGGCACAGCGCGCCCAGAGCACCTGTTTACACAAGATCAGCAGCACCGGCAGCACCTGTGTCTCAAGCCTGACCGTCCCTCTCGTATCCTGGTCTGTCACGACCTTAAAAGCCGAGGGCAAAATGAGACACGGTGGACGGCAGAGACGTCCACTTGGCAGACACCACTCTGCCCACTGGAGGACAAGTACATGGCGTCGGGTCACAGCACCTGCCGCAGGCCACTGTCACAGACGCCACACGGGCAAAGCGGACCCTGTGAGAACACGAGCCGCCCGTCCACACGGAACAGCAAGGGCCGGGCCCCTCCATGAGCGCCGCCCAGCTGCCTCTGCCCTGTGTAGTCCAAGATGCCCATCTCGGGCACGAGGGCGATGGCCTCTACAGTTAGGGATCAATGGTAAATATTCAGGCTGTTGCAGTGGGGCTTGCTGTGCAGCCCAGGCCGGCCTTGAACTCACGGCAATCCTCCTGCCCCACCACGGCCGGCCAGGCTGTGGCATTTTAAAATTAGAGATCAAGAGTAACTCCCAGGAAAGAAGAGTGACTCCCAGAAGAAAAATCAGTTTCTTCATAAAGGAAACCTAACTTATAAAAAGCTGGAATGACAGTAGTTCAGATACAAAAGCCCCTATCTCTCCCTTCCACCTACGCAGGTCCACAGGCTCGCTCCACCGCACAGCTGTGCTGTGCCAGGTTCCACCACCGGGGCGAGCGCGACGGAGGCACTGCCCAAGCGCTGCACTGGACTGCAGCAGGGCGCAGCCCCGTCCTCACACCTGGCTCCCTTCCTGCGGCCCAGGGCGGTCGGCGAAGGGAGGGAGGGGGTCTGTGAAGGGCTGCGACAGCCACTGCCCATTCGGGATGGTGCCGAACGCCGGCGCTGCTCTCACCTCCGCGCTGTCGGCTACAGGGAAAGGAACGTGGGTTAGTTCTGTTTAGGACATCTAGATGCTCAAACCGCCGATTTCGGGGCGCAGATTTCAGAAGTACAGTGGAGATCTATTAAGAATATCAATCAGGCTTCTGTAATAAGATTTTAAGTTTCTGCGCTAAGATAAAGCATAGATAATCCTCACCTGAGAATCTGTGACTTAAAGAAAATGGGCTGTGAAAGCTTGTTTGGTTTTTGTTTTGTTTTGCAGTGCCAGGGACTGAACCCAGGGCCTCCACACTGAGCCAAGCTGCCCAAGGTAGGCTCCCTCCGGAGAGCTGGGGCTACAGGAGTGCGCCACACCCAGCCCAAGTCTGTGCAGCTAAACATCAGGGAACCGTCACATTCGCAGTGCCAGCCACTAACAGTGGCCTCTCTTCCTACCCCCCATGCCCCAGGCAGCCCTGAGGAGGACAGGTGAGGGTCATACTTAGCCCATTGGAGGAGAGGCCGCAGGGCTCGCTGCTGCACGGGTTCTCGCTGTAAGCTCCGCCGTAAGCAGCTTCATAACCTGGGTCATACTTCTCTTCCTTAACAGCCATCTTCTTTGCATCCTCTACAAGGAGGCAAAAGCAAGTTAAAACTGGTTTCATTCAACGATGTGGTGAACAGCTTCATTCAGAAGTCGTAACTCTTTTCCTTAAATGAGGCGGACCGTGCAGCACATGCTTCCACTTCACTTAGGGTAAGCAAAATGCTCCCTAGGCCCTCACTGCCTGTGCACACCCAGAGTAGATGCCACCCAGGTGTGGGAGATTTCTTTCTTTTCTTTTCGTACCGGGGATCAAACTCGGATCCTTGCGCACTTGCAAGGCAGGCAGCAGAACCAATGAGCTAAACCCCCAGCCCTAGGAAATTTATTTCAGTGACTTAACACGCAGGAAGAGCCCACTGCCTGCAACACGGTCACTTTCTCTCTGCTCTTCACCCCATGCAAGTTCTGTACAGCAGGGGAAATGAGTTTAGGCCCGTGGGCACGCACCTTGGGCAAGCTGCAGATCAAAGGTATAGCGCACTTCCTGCACATCCGTGTTCCGTTCAATGCCCTTGAGCTGGTCCCTTAGGTCCTTCAGCTTAATGTAGTAATGGACTTTGTCCTGGGCACGGGGAAACTGAGCGCATCTCGCGCTGGACGATGGCATAACGTAACAGAGCTGGAACCGCAACAGTTCCGTCTCAGAAATGGCACAATTCTATTCCATCTACTCACACCGAGATTAGAGAAGATACGTTCACTTGGGTTAATAACTTGATAACTACACAGATATATAAAAGCAGTGTCCAGACCAGTTAGTTGTACTTCAGGTCAAACCTGTAATATACTTATTATGAAGTCAATAAATTAAAAACAACCCCCCCCTTTGGTGTTCATCTATCAACAGGCTTTTCAATAGCAAATTTATAGCTCAAAATTAAAAAGGGACGAAGGGGCACAGGAATGTACAATGAAGTCCCCCAGCCCACTCGATCCCCACCTGGGACAAGCCATGCTGTCAGTTCCAAGGCTTTCCACAAAAACACAGTTAAAAGTATCATAAAATTGCAGTTTCAGAAAAGGGGAAGAGACTGAATATATGCAGGGCTCTTGACGACAAGAAGCTAAAAGCAGAAGAAAATGGGACAGCAGTGCCCACCTGTGCAGTGGCAGAGTCCCTGAAAAGCCCCTCCCAGCACCCGGGCCTCGCCGGCATTTCAAACGACGCACATAAGTCTCGTGCGTTAAGGGCTGAGCTGCTTTTTAAAGCTGTAAACAAAACCTAAAAATGGAGCGAAGCTGGAACTAGGGATCTGAAGACGCTGCAGAAATGAGTTTGTAAAACACTATTATTTCACAACGGCCTGCACATAATGGGCAGTGGGGGCACAGGCCAGCTGGGGGCTGATGTCGGCCTCTAAAATGAAGCCGGGCTGAGACAGACACGGACAACTGGTTTTGCTAACCTGGGTCGTGTCTCTACCCACATGCTGTTCCACCCTGCACATGACTGTCTCGTCTGAACCTGGCAGGTAATGCCAGTAGAGCTATTCTGCGTACAGCACACGAACCAGCTCCTCTCCAAGCTTGAGCTCCACAGCACGACATCAAGAGCCCTAACAAACGTTTAACTGAAACTCTAACAGGACCTGAACTAATTTTTAGCTATTAAAAGCTGATATATATATATAAATATCATCTGACAAAATACAGAGTGACCTAATTTATAATAGCATAAATAGATAGGGCTGGGCGGGGATAGCTAGGAAAAAATTCCTGTTTAACGGAGCTACAAATACAATTTTGAGGACTTACCGTTTCTGTATCAGGGATCTTATGGGGCTGAAGCCCGAATTCCAGGTTCTTAACCCTTACTCCAAAAACTTCTTTACTAAAAATTTCATAAATACCTAAAATGAAATACAAACGTATTTACATTGCCCTAATGTCAGCATGGAGAAAAGAGAGAATTTAAAAGTAAATCTTACATTTTCCATTAAACACCGCTATGCGTGGCTGATATTTCTGTAATTTCTGTACTAGAATACGTCCGCCTTCACGAAATTCTTTACTAAAATTGAATTAAAAAGTAGTAAAAAACTGGAAATATGACAAATGTAAATACGCTAAATTCAGGCAGCTCTCAATGTGTGGAGCTCGGCTCGCGGCTGACCCGTCCGACGCGCCCAGGTTACGGGGGTGCACAACGGGCTCCAGCCCCGGGACTGGCTGCACGGTTACCTGGAGAGGTCCTTGCTGCCTGGCGTCGTCCTCTCCACCATGTTGGTGAAGCCGATGCCGTACTTCCCGGGCAGCGTGTGGTCGTCCATGTGGTTGAGCTGCACCTCGCTCAGCCCCGACATGAACAGGCACTTCCCTGCGGGGGAGAGGGCCGCTGGTCTCTGCAGGCCAGAGTCCTGGAAGCCAACTGGATTCTGCTCCAGAACTACAGCTGCTCACGCCGGAAGCTCAGAACCCGGCCTCCCATCTAGCAGCTGGGGACAGCACACCACCCTTGCACTGCGTCAGAGACTGGAACACTCAATCGCCTCCACGCTGGAGGAAGCGAACACTAACTTCTCTAGCAAACCTCTAGTAGAAACGGTGTATTACTAATTCCAAAAACAGATTCTCAATGGTTTTCACGTTACTCCTGGGTAATGGACTAGCGCTTCCTGAGGCAATCGGCCACACCTGTGGTTCTGCCAGGTGCTGCATGGGAGGCAACCATGCCACACCAGAGGTGCCACAGCGGTGACAGACACCTTGAGACTCACTCCAGAGTCTGGGCCTTCGCTGCTATTTTCTGCCAGTGAGAAGTTTCAGCAGAGCACGTCGCCAGTCACTTTTCCTAACCTTACAGCTCGACACACTCTGATCTGCAACAGAACTCTGGTCTGCACCAGCACAACACACTGCTGTTCTGTAGATAATTAACTAAAAATTGGCTTTTAAAAAGTAGTAAAACTCACAGAAACAATTCAAAGGAAAAAAGAAGGGCTAAGAGCATAGCTCAGCAGTAAAGTGTTTGCCTACTGTGAGTGAGGCCCTGGGTTCAACTCCCAGTACCAAATACACAAATCAAACCACAACTGGTTTAAAAAAGAAAGTTGCTAATAAAGACAGATGTTTTGGGGGAGGTAGTGGGGACTGAACTCAGGGCCTTGCACACACACACAAGCACATGCTAGGCAAGCTCTCTACTGCTGAGCTACATCTTTTGTTGTTTCTTTTTTTGCATTTGTGTGTGTGAGAGAGAGAGAGCGAGTGCAAGAGAGGGTGGGGGGAGAGTATGAGGGGAGGGAGAGGGAGAGGGAGACGGAGAGGGAGGAGAGGGAGAGATGGGGAGAGAGAGACACAGATACACAGGGTCTCATGAAGCCTCAAACTCACACCTGTGCTGTCTTCCTCCCGAGTAGCCGGGACGGGAGTGTGCACCACCGTGCCAGCTAAGACAAATCATTTAAAAGTAAATGAACCACTTACAAAAATGGTTTCCAGGTCCAGGGTAATGGTGGCCTTTGTAAGCAGCCATGAGGCCTGGATTTATGCCAATCTACGAAACAAAATAATTGCATATTAGTCTGAAAAAGTAGGAAATAAGCTTTAAGATTTCAATAGCATAGCAGTAGACAAAACTGAATTGATGATAAGAAAACATTTAATCCAGCACCATCAACATTATCAATTAGTACTATTCTTGGTTCCCAAAAAAGTATTCCACACAGAAGAAATAGACTTTGGGGCCAGGGATTTGACTCAGTGGTGCCGCCGCCTGCCTCACAAGAGCAAGGTCCCAAGTTCAATCCCCGGTACCAAAATAAATAAGAATACATAAATAAATAAAGAGTTCCTTTCATTACTTGGTTTGTGGGGTTCACAAACCAGCCCCACCCTGCCCGGTGGGGGAAGAGGACAGCAGCACCATCCAATCAGAGCTCCGTCCGGCCACGGCCTGGTCCCCACATGGCCTGCACAGCAGCCTAGTTACTGAACAGACTGCACGCTCAGAATCTCGGCTGTCCCCATGTCACACGCTCCACGGATCACGTGACTACTGCATCTAGCTGCCATAAGTACGAACCCTGCATCTTCAGTGAGACACCAGGCCTCAGAAAGCGGACAGGGAGGAGAGGGCAGGGGACACAACAGGAATTAAGATGTGTCGTGCCCACGTACCCGCTGTCCTTGACTAATGTAACCAGTATGTACTGCAAAGACTTTTACAAAGAGGAGGCCAAAAGAGCAAAAGCAGGACAGTTCAGGTCCAAGGTCACCCCGCGACAGGGTCTGAGCGGAGCCCCCCCCAGAGGCTACACCCGCTCTCCGGGGGGCTTCTTACGATCACGATGTCCAGATTGAAGGTCAAAATATCAGGCAGCGTCTTGGTCAGCAGCTCTGCCTCGGACACGCCGTTGAAACGGTCTACCTTCCTTTTCACTTTAAAAGTGTCTGTAATCTTTTCTTGCTTTTCCTTGGACTTTGAGGACTTGGCAGATCTTTTGGACTCTGCAGGTTTTTTGGGTTCAACGGGCGTTTTGGGTTCTGTCGGTTTGGCTTTTCTCTTCCTTCCCCTCGGAGCCTCTGAAACGATCACATCCAGAAGGTGAAGTGGAGGAAGTGAATCTGCATCTCCTGCGCTCCCCCAGCAGTGACCCCGGTACGTACCCATCCCCCACCCGCACTAGCTGAGGAGCACCCAAACTGACCCTCCCAGGCGGGCTCCTCCTCCGGAGCTCCCCTCTCCCTGCCCCGCCCCTTCATGCCTCCACCTCCTGCTCCATCCCCGCCTACTTGGTAATCCCCCAACCAAGACCGGCAGGGGCAGGCGGTCTTTCTTCCTTACTGCCTCACACTACTGGCAGGCGGTCTTTCTTCCTTACTGCCTCACACTACTTCAGTCCCTCCGGATGAAGGGGCTGGCACCTGTAGTCTCTACTTGGGGAGATTCCTGCCCAGAGCCACACAGGGAGGGAAGGAACCCCAGCAATGGAGTCAGGGTGCTCCTGGACCCCCACAGCCGTACTGCTGCACTGGAGGAAAGCTCAGTCTGCACCTCCTCGAAATCTGCTTGGCCCCTCTTCTAATTCTGTCTTTCTGACCCAAGGCCTCATGTGCTGTCAGTCCTTCCCCTTGGAGTTCACGGTTGGGAACCTGGGAGAGGGAGCCAGTGGCCCTCAGGGCAGTGGGGTGACAGCCCTTGGAAGGGCTGTGGGGCCCACTCCGGTGGCTTCTTTTGGGATTTGTGACTCCTTCCCGATGCACTCTGCCACTGTGACACCGCCCACCGCCTGTGGGCCACAGCCCTTAGTTCCAGCTGGGTGCCGGGTCAGCCTCCGGTCACAAGGTCGCCTGTCCTCAGTGTGCTGTCACTATAGAGCAGAACGGCCAAGACAGGGCTTCTCCCAGATTCCTTGCTTTGTTTGGCCCCTACAGGAAACCCACTAACCATGGCCAGGAAACTCCCCCCAAGGACTTCCTAACTCGTCCTCCACCCCTTCCCATTGCCCTCATGCCCTCCCAGATCAGTCCCCACTCCGCTTCGTGACTTCACACCCTTCCTTGCTCTCTACACCCAGTGCCGGGCACTGAACCCTGGGCCCTGCGCATCCGGGCAAGTGCTCCACCACAGAGCTGCACCCTCAGCCCTTCACTTCTGATTCTGAGACGGGGTCTTGCTTAGTTTCCCGGGCTGGGCTTGTACTTGCCATCCTCCTAGGAGTTGGGATCGTGGACTTGCATCTCCATGTTTGGCTGTAGACTGGTTTTAAATACACCGATCTGCTTAGGCCAGCCCCTTGCTTACATCCTGAGCAGCTCCCTGCTGCCTTCAGGACAGGATGCACACCCAGCCCCAAATGCCCATCCAACCTCTCTCTTTCCTTGCTATGTTCCAGCTCCAGGGCCGCATCCAGGGCTTCTCATGCCCTGCTGGGCTCGGCACACACTCGTAAAGGTGAGGAGGTTATAACACTGAAACAGAGCTGCAACTCCTCCTAAAACCTGCTCGTCAACAGGCGCTTAATCCAGTGTCACTGCTCTACACTGTCGCGGTGCCAACTACCTTTCCCGGTTTCCTGTGCAGGAGCTGGGGCAGGGGCTTCCACGGGCACCTGCTGTTCCATCTCCGGGACTGCCAGGTGAGGAGCTTCAGCCATCATCGGCTGATATGGAAACGAGTAAAGCGCTTGCACCTGCTGAAGGGAACAGCTGGAAGGACAAGCAGTTCACAGAGATGATCCAATTAGTCACGTGTTAGGTTTCATCTGTTAGCTTATTTTTTGCAGGATTAGTGATCACACCCACCAAGCTCTTTGCCACTGAGCTACATCCCCAGCCCTTTTAAAGTTCCTTTTCTTTTCTTCTGAGAAAGGTCTCACTACATATCCCAGGCTGGCCTCAAATTTGTGCTTCTCCTGCCTCAGCCCCCGATGCTGGGATTATAACTGTGTGTGACTGGGACAGCCCAAATATGTTGTTTTCTCCCAAATTTTAAATGAGCAGCTGAAAAGAAATTTCAGGATCTAAATATTCTGTCAGCAGATTGTAGTATTTACTTAGAGGTAATGGGAAGAGAGGAAGAGGAAGCTCTGTTCTCTTAATGCACGTACTCCCTGTACCAAACGCTTACACAAAACTTCTCTGTCTGATGACACCAACACCAAGTGTCACAACAAAACCTGCCGGTCGTGTCAAGTTGGCCACTCTTCCTCTGAAATGAGGTCACGGAAATTTTCTATATATAGCCAGACCCGAAAGGCCCATCAACCCACATGGGTTACTCTTATCTGTCCTCAGTTTGTGTCTCTATTCTTCAGTATTTACTCAGTGGCACAAAGAACTGGCGAATCTAGGTTGTAATTTTTAAAAAATTTATTTGCCTGTTTTCTTATTTATTCATTAGATCTGGCTTTTGTTATTGTTGGCCTTTTGTTGTTCTGTTATAGTTTGCCACTGAATAGGAACTAGGAATAATTATTTTGTAAACATTTATTCAATTTAAAAGAAAAAAAACCCCTAAGATCTTCTGAACACGACGTAAACTTTGCGCAAAGTAAGGATGGTAGGCCTCCGAGGAAACCTGGAAACACTTTACAGTGACCGGAAAGCTCCACCTCAAGCTGCTGCGGTCAGCCCAAAGCTAGGGAAGTAAACAGAGATGCGATGAAACTGAAGATAAAGCTAATGCCAGACAGTGCCACTCAGTGTGCAGGAAGAAACATCAATCGGGAGGGAAGACGGGAGAGTATCGTGTCCTATTTGGAGGGAAGCCATGCTTGCTGTGGCGAGATACTCAGCAGCTCTATCTCTGCATCCTGTGGAGGAAGGTCAGCAAGCTCAGCGGGCAGGGATGACATGGGCCAGCTCTACTGGGAAAGTCACCTCCCAGTAAATGGTGCAAGGGTGGGGAAGCAAGCTGAAGCCTTCTCTTGGTAAGCTCGGAAGTGACTGTGGAGAGACCTGTGGGTGCCAGGGAGGATGCTGGATGCTAGAGAGGCCTAGGGGACAGAGAATCAGAGAGGTAAGTGGCTGGAGAAAACATGGCTACGAACCAGTGAGAAAAATACTAACCTGTGGCCTAAGAGTTTTACTTTAAAATACGTCATTCATAAATTATGCAAAAAAACTAAGATGCACCAGGGATTTAGCTCAGTGGTTCCACCACCTGTGTTAGATCCTCGATACCAAAAACAAACCAAAAAAATGAGTCAATAAACTATAGTACATTAACATAAGAATACTAGACAGCTATTAAAAACCAATACTATCAAAGTTTAATCTATATTTCAAAGTAGAAAATATAAAGTAGCATTGTAAACTAAGGCTGTATGTAGAGAAAATATGCAGACATGGAATGTAAGTTGAATGTTTTAAAAACACATTCTTTTGTTTGAGATAGGGTTTCACTACGTAGTTTATGCTGGCCTTGAACTCACTACGTAGTCCAAGCTGGTCTTGAACTCATGATGATCCTCCTGTCTCAGCCTCGAGTGCTGGGCTCACAGGTATATGCCACCACTAAAATGTTACAATGAAGAAGCGATGAACTTGGAACTGTGCTCAGCACGAAGTAAAATGTCCTCTTTTTTCACAATACCACTAACGTCTCCCTTACACTGTTGAAACACTGGCCATTTACAATGCATGATATAAATATTTTAATGAGGAGCTGGATATAGCTAGGTTAGATTGAGAGATCTTGAGGAATTATACTCAAGAGAATATCCTCATAAAATGAACTGGAACTCTGATTGTAGCCGGTGGGTTTCTAGAGTGTGACTGTAGTCACTTTCAGATTGAACGTGTAACAGTAAGACGCAGTTACAATAATGTGTGCTATGGTTTAGCTCTAGAATGTCCCCCAAACTGTTCTGTGATCGGAGGTGGGCTCCTGAAAGGGTTTACGTTTGCCAGCTGGGTTTAAGTCTTGCTTTTATTCAATTCCTATCCTCTTGTTCTTTCCTTCCGCATGTTTAAAGTATTTAACTTTGTTTTTTTTATTTTTACAAGGGATTATGGCTAGGAGTTTGCCTTGAATCTCAGAGAAGACTTTGGACATTTTAGCAATGCTGGAACTGTTAACCCTCTGGCGACCTTTAGTGATGGACTAAACGCATTTTGTATAATAAGATAGACACAAGTCCTTTGGAAGCAAAGGATGGAATGTTACAGTTTAGGTCTAGAATGACCCATAAAACTCCCATGCACTGGGGCAGGTGTGTGTGTGTGTGTGTGTGCTTTTGGGACATAATTATACCATGGGGGCGGCTATGGCTAAACAGCAGAGGGGCCTGGGATGCAGACAGGTCACTGGGCCATGACTTGGAAGGTGTCTCTCTCTCCTTGGCTCCTCCATTCTCTCTCTCTCTGCTTCCTGGCCACCATGATGTGAACAACTTTCCTCCGCTTCAGAAACTCCCACCATGACATTTCTGTGTGCCAGCCCCACAATGAAACGTCTGAAACTATGAATGAGAATAAACCCTTCCTCTCTCCTCTTTTACACTGTGGATGTCAGGTATTTTGTCCCAGAGACAAGGAAGTGTAAGATATATTTGTCTGTGTTTGGCAGACCCGAGAGTCAAACCTATGGGCTCACACGTGTCTCACAAGGTCATAATGAAGGAACGACCTGAAGAACATGGGAGGTTAGTCTATCACACAGACAAGAAGACAATCTACCTTCCTCTATCCCTATATTTTGTGCTGCCATTCTCAGTCTGACAGGTACCATTTAGAGTACTTGACAAAAATCCAAAAATCCCATCTAAATTGAGGAGACATCATCACATTATAAAAGGCTTCTTCACTTTTAAAAAATTTCAACTGAAATGTGGCTCCCTTAGTACAGTTAGGGGATGTTAAACATCTTTTGAAATTCTGGGGCTTAGAAACTGCAAATTAAATTCCAGAAATTACAGTTGGCAAACAAGAAGTGAATGAAGAACCTCGATCTTAGAGATGTGTCATTTTTCAAAGAAACCCAGAAAGTTATCTATGACAATGTATCCCTTAAACTTTTCTAAAAATGATCTGTGGCATTTTACAACAAAATACAGTTTATATGTAGATAGCCCCAAGATCCTCATATTCTCCTAAGTGGGGCTTGTGAAAGAGGGATGGACCACCGGGTGCTACAGTTAAATGTGCTGTTAGCAAGTAGTGTTGGGTTGCAGCAATCCTCCTGCCTCAGACTCCTGAGGGCCAGATTACAGGCCTGCACTACCCTGCCTGGTTTGGGACCGCTGTGATATGGCCTTCTCCTGAAATGTGGCCAGGATATAAGATTTCCATGGAGTAGCTGAAGTTCCCTTATGGCCCTTAGTAATCTTGAGCTTTAACTCTCTCATCTCCAGTATAACCATCATTTTCCTTATCAGATGAAAAATCAAAATCAGAACTACATATTTATATCTTTGGTCATCTAACACCATGACAATGGGCTGTGTGGAAAACCAAAACCCTTTTTATCTTTTTCTGTCCAGCTAACTCAAATACCTCCTAATCACTTCTGGACAGCCTGACCTCATGTAGTATTTCCCACCTGTACTCCGTTCTCTTTTTTTTTTAGGTGGTGGGGATTGAGCCTGGGGTCTTGTGCATGTTAGGTAAGCATTCTACCAATAAGCCACATTCCAGCTTTTAAAAAAATTTACTTGAGACGGGGTCTAGCTAAGTTACACATGTAGGCTTTGAACTTCTGACCCTACTGCTTCAGCCTCCGGAGTAGCTGGGATCATAGGCACGTGCCAGCAGGTCCAGCTCCATCTGTGTTCTCAGTGGTCTGTGTCATTCCTTTCCAGTCACTTCTGACCTGCTGTACTACCTTGGATCTTTGGTAAAAGTTCTCTTCGTGCCTGAGGTCTCACTGGACACATACTAGGCCTCTTGCATGATTCCTCTTTTTTCCCTCTCTGGTTGACTGGACTCTTGAACTATTTATTTTCCCATCCAAAGAGAGTATACATCCATGGAATATTTTTTCTTTGAATGTTTTGATACTAGTTTTCCAAACAAGTAAATTATACCCAGCAATTTATTAGCCCCAAATCAAGCTAACAGAGACCACCCTAGTATTTGAGTCATTTGAGAATCCCTAAGGATAAAGTCTGTGAGTATAATACAGAATTTTCCACATTTCCTGAAGGCAAAAGCTTTGGGAGTCCTATAGGTGAAGACACGCACATGCCAGAGCTTTGAGCATAATTATAGTCAGAGTCCATTATTTTGCTGAACAAGGCCTTATACTGTGTAATTCATTTGGTTTGGCTTCAAGTTTCCTGTCATGTAAAGTCACAAATGTGAAAGAGATTTCTACAAGGTCTGGTGAATTCTCTCATTGGCCAAGTACTTCTAAGAAAGAAGCAGAGTATTTCATTCCAGAGTTTGGTCCACCATATCAGAACAGAATAAAATGCAAATTTATGTGCAGTTATCTCTTCTCCTAAACTTTAAAAAAACATTTATTTTGCTTATTTCAGTACGCTGTTTTTTTATTTCAATGGAAATGATTACCTTTTCTCCTTTTAAATATCTGGTCACCTTATTTTTTTTCTCATTTAGCTTCCTGTCAATACTTCAAATCTCTACTTTTTCAAAATTTCGACTTACCCAACACTCCCAAAATACATTTAAAAAAATATGGTCCCAGGACCACTGGAAATCTCAGCCAATTTGGAGCTGGTCTCCCTGACAGGGTTACACCCACCGCCAGCGCCATATTATCTGCTGTGACTCTTAGCATTGCTTTCAGTCAAGACTCGGGGGAGGAAGCCATCACACGTGGACTAACTTTAACAGGACGGGGGAGCTGGGTTCCTCCACCCCGCTTTCTGCATGGTGGACGCAGGAGGAAGGCCAGAGTCACCGGGTTGCCCGGCAGCTTGAGAGGGGAACGAAGCCAGGCTCAGGTGCAACCCAGACCCGGGCAGCCGGCGACTCCCGCCCGCCAAGCCGCAGTGCGCACGCG